TGGGATTGGGATAAAAAATAAAACAAATAGACACATACTTCTCTACCATAGTAGGGTATGGCATAGGTTAACAGGTAACCAATTAACACCGGTAGCATTAACTAGGAGGGCTTCCTGTGGTTGTGCACTCTGGTGAGAGACTGTTCCCTGAGGGGTTTGGGAAAAGAGGATTTCTCAGACATTCCAAAGGTGTGTTGTCGTAGATGCAAAAAGACTACAGACAGGCTCAGGGAAGGTACAGATTGACCTTTGTCGGGGAAGATGCCAGCCTAGGACATGCCTACCTGTCATGATCTGCTTTTAGTTAGAAAGTTTTAAGTTCAGACCATCCTATGTGTTATTTGAGTTTGTAAAGCCACCATGCAGGCCTCCCCTGAACTTGTCAGGTTTAGTATGTGGCCCCTTTTTCATCCACAGATATTTTCCCTAAAAATACTTTTCTTCAAGTCTTATTAGAAGCACAGGTTCACACATGTAAAACGATTAGAGAAAATACAAATTAGACTCCCATGCCATTCTTCAGCATGTGACTCCAGCCATATAAGGGATTATGACAAAGGGAAATGTAATGTGAGGTGAAAGGTAAGGTGTTGAAGGAGAGAAATCATGCGAAAGTTCATTCTGAAGATAGGATTTGGACAGGAAACTGGGAACTCATTCCAGCTTCCAAGGACTAGGTCATTTCCTGATGTCTCTTCCTTATCTAGACACTGATAAAAATTCAAAGACATAAAAATTCATAAGAGATAAGAAAGGCTACTAAGAGTCTTGGAATTTTCTCTTTTAGTGACTGGAATTAGGGCAGCTACAGGAGGCTTTTATTGTCCCTTCATAGACTTACACCTGAGGTGGGTAAAATGGAAATGAAATAATTCAATGTCTGCATTCTTCTTGATGGTTTTTAACATTACATCTTTATAATGGTGATGAAAAAAGACTTTTGGAAAGGAATGTTGGTATTTATTTTTAGGCTATACCAAATAATAGAGAAATATCTATAATAATAAAAGCGTAATATGCTAATTAGACAGGACAGCAGAATGACCTTCCGGACATCATTCTGTACGGAAGGTCATTCTGTACGTCCTTCCAGATGAAGCTGCGGCAGCGGGGATCAAGGCAGAGGTGGTTAGGGGCGATCAGACAGGCAGGCAAGCGGTTAGAGGCAATGAGGCAGACAGGCGAGTGGTTTAGGGACAATCAGGCAGACAGGCAGAGGCAGTTAGGGGCAATCAGGCAGGCAGGTGAGCAGTTAGGGGTGATCAGGCAGGCAGGCAGAGGTGTTAGGGGTGATCAAGCAGGCAGGCAGAGTGGTTAGGGGCAATCAGATAGGCAGGCAGGCGAGCGGTTAGAAGCCAGCGTTAGGAGCCAGTGGTCCCAGATTGCGAGAGGGTTGTCCAGCAGTCAGACATCCCCTGAGGGGTCCCAGATTGCGAGAAGGTGCAGGCCAGGCTGAGGGCCTCTAGTATATATATATAGTTGCCTTGGCCCTGGCTCCTGACACAGAGCGCCTACATCCTTTGGAATTCCTGAGTAGTAAGAGCACTTAGGAACATCTTTTGTTCTAATATTTGGTCTTTGACCTGACTCCTGCTGCAGAGCACCTAAATCCTTTGGAACTTCCTGAGTGATAAGAGGAGATAGGAGTGTCCTTTGTTCTAGTGAGGCAACTCTTGATGGGCTCCTGGATTGCTTCGGGATGGGGACTGTCACCAGAAAGACAAGCCATATCATTAAAAGCTTGAAACTTCCAGCCCCACCCCCATCCTCCAGGAAGGGGAGAGGGCTGGATATTGAGTTAATACCTGTATAATGACGCCTCCATAAAAATCCCAGAAGTACTGGATTCAGAGAGCTTCCACACTGGGGAGCACATTCATGTGCCGGGAGCATAGTGCACCCCAACTCCAAGGGGACAGACGCTCCTGTGTCTGGGACCCTTCCAATCCTCACCCTATATATCTCTTCATCTGACTGTTTATCTGTATATTTTATCATATCCTTTATTATATAATAAAGCAGCAATTGTAGTATTTCCCTGAGTTATGTGAGCTCTGCTAGCAAGTTGTTAAACCCCAGGAGGGGGTCACAGGTAACAGCCTCTACTGCTGATTGGCATCTAAGGGGGGAGGCAGTCACATGGGACTGATCTCATGCTAATGTTATCAGTGGAAATGGAGTTCTTGGGGTGCCTCAGGGAAAAGAATTTCCTGAGACCCCCACAGGAGGATGGGGTCTCGTGGAAAGCTTTATTGATGATGTGAAATTAAGGGGGTTTCCCTCCAAAGATCCCATCTCTGTCTGTCCCGCCATGGAATCTTGTCTTCAGCGGGGCTAGAATTAAGGCCACTGTCCAGAGTTTCTGTTCCATATGACAGTACAGTACAGTACAGCATCTGGCTGGCTTACCTGTGTTCCCAGCTGCAGTCCATTGCGTGTGGGGTCCACACAGCCATGGGCCATGTGGCTGCTTAAGACCCTAGGACAAGTGAGCATACAGAGCAAGTACAGGTCATGGAGCAAGTGAGAGCAAGAAGAGGGATAGGGATTTTAACTTTCCAAGATGTTGAGCATTTGCAGTGGCTTCACCCCCCTAGCCAACGATCTTTTTCCCAGGCCATACTGACAGGCAAGCACCTTCCCTATGTCACCCCCACTTCACTGCACTGCACCCAAATCTTTTGTTTGATCCCTTCCCCCAGTGATCTGCAGGGAATGGACTGGGGGTTCCCTGGGGAGCATGAAGCTGTAGCTTCCTGGTGAAGCTGACCAGGTGATCATGCTTATAATGTCTGACCTCCCCTTTGCTCTCTTCCTACTATTAATATTAACAAGCTAGTTAATTATGACAATAACACTAACTCCAGGTAGATAGTGTCAGAACTGAATTAAATTGTAGGACAACCAGCTAGTGTCAGAGACTTGGGTATGGGAATAACCTCATACCTCTGGTGTTGTGAGTGTGGTAATAGTGTGAGAGTAGAGAAAAAACACAAGAGTGTTTGTCATATATCTATACTAATAAAAGGGTAATATGCTAATTAGACCAGATTGACCAGACATCTTCCGGTTGTCCTGCCTTCCTTCCGGACAAAGCCACGGTGGTAGGGGCCGAGGCAGAGGTGGTTAGGGGTGGTCAGGCCGGCAGGGGGGAGCAGTTAGGGGTGATCAGGCCAGCAGGGGAGGGCAGTTAGGGGCGATCAGGCAGGCAAGGGAGGGCAGTTAGGAGCGATCAGGCAGGCAGAGGGGTTAGGGGCGATCAGGCAGGCAGGTGAGCAGTTAGGAGCCAGCTGTCCTGGATTGCGAGAGGGATGTCTGACTGTCCCATAGGGATCAGGCCTAAACCGGCAGTTGGACATCCCCTGCGGGGTCCCGGATTGGAGAGCATACAGGCCAGGCTGAGGGCCACCCCCCACCACCACCGTGCACGAATTTCGTGCTCTGGGCCTCGTGTGTGTGTGTGTGTGTGTGTGTGTGTGTGTGTGTGTGTATACCTATATATAGGCTAAGCGACCATCCGACCAGCCAGTAGGTATGACGTGCACTGACCACCAGGGGGCAGACGCTCAGCGCAGGAGCTGCCAAGCTGTGGTGATTTGGCAGCGGTAGTTCTCTGCTGATGCATGCCAGAACTAGAGAAGAGGGAGCCCGATTCCTCATGGGGCTGCGCAATTCCACCTTTGGCCATTGTTTATGTTGTTGCTGGGGCATGTCGCCCCAAATCTGGTTTACTGCTGAGCTGCAGTGACCACAGATGCCCTTTGAGCCTTGCTGCTGCCCCAGAGGTGGTTGGCAGGGAGGGACCACAGGAGGTTGGCTCCAGGGCATGTCCAGCCCATCTCGCCCAGCCCCACCCCACTAATTAATTTCCTTCTAATTAATTTCCTTTCAATGTGCATGAATCTGTGCACCAGGCCACTAGTAGAACTATAAATACAATATTTCCCATTTTTTAGGTAAGAAAACACAAAACAAACATGATTACCTGAAATAGATGCACTGTTACTTAACATTTATTCAGTATGCACCATATGGTGGGTGCTGACAAGCAATTAAATAAGATGATATCACATATACTAATATAGCTCCAAACTGTGAATATAATGACTAAGATGAGTCCTTACTCTTCTCTCCACGGCTTAAAGAAAAAGATGGAGAATACACAATGGGTTTAAAAGGCGAGGAAAATTGCTTAAAGGATTGGAAAGTAATACATATGACAGAGGAAAGGAAATTAAATGTTAAGTGTTTAAAGGTTAATAACATGAGTAGTTTTCCTCACACTAAGAAAATGATTTTTAATTATAGTATAAAGGATTTAAGTTAGCTACCATTTAATTATTTGTGCATTCATTTAACAAAGTTTATTGTGTGCTGTTATATAAATAAAACTTCCACTGATTTAATGCTTTGAGCTTTACACTTTATATACATTATCTTATTCAACTTTCCAGATATCCTACATATTATCATCGGTAATTTCCAGATGAGGGGAAACATTAGAGTGGTTAAGTAACTTGCCCAAAGTCACACAGCTGGTGGACAGTGGGTCCTGGATTAAAAGCCAAGTGTATCTGCTTTCAAAATTTGCTCTGAATCCATCAATATATTGCCCATCCACATACATTATCCTGAGCTTCAAGCTAAGGGTGGCATTGAAAGGGATTAGTTAGAGACCCTGGCCTCCTGGAGTTTTTAACTATAGCAACTATATTTACATAGATAGCTCAAGATTGGGGTAGTGCCATATGAAAGGGAGAATCAATAAGTACACTAGGATTTTGGAGCCTGAGTGACCCTTTATGAACAGGCTTAACACACAGGTAAAATAATTTGGCCTGAGACTTGCAAACAATAAGGGTTTCAATTAGTAGACTAGATGAGAAGACAGTCCAGCCAGGTAATGGCTCAGAGGAAAAACAATGCAGTCGTATTCAATACAGGTAGAACAGGAAGTTTATATAGGGAAGAAGTATTGAAAAGGAACATTAGGCTAAATTTATTCTCTGGATAATGAGAACTCCTTGAAGCTTTCTGAGCAAGGGAATGATGTGATGAAGACTATCCTCAGTGTTCTTATAAATGCAGTCTAACCCGAGAGAAGTCTGGGATGGAGGGAGAGCAGTCTGCACCAGTCCAGATGGGAATAAAGGTCTAAGTTGAGAGGTAACAGAGCGAAGACAAAGGATGGAGATGGAGATATGAAAGGGCATGAATTCAAGATCACATCTATGAGTAATTGTCAGGATACTCAAATTGGAGAACTAAGGATGACAATTAACTCTCTTCAAAAGGTTATATACAGGCATGCCTCAGAGTGTGTGGGTTTGGTTTGGTTCCAGACAATAGCAATAAAGCAAGTCATAATATTTTTGCTGGTAGAGGATCTTGCCTTCCACTGTAAAAAAAAAAAAGGCAACATCTGAAAAGCACAAATTGAAGCACAATAGCACAATAAAACAAGGTATGCCTATATATAGGGTGTCTCCAAAAAATGTATACACACACTTTGAATAATTATAAAGGCAGTGTTTATGAAAATACATTTCATTTTCAAAATTGAGCTATCAGCTATTAAAGTGTGTATACATTTTTGGGACACCCCCCCAAAAAAATATTTGTCTTAGCCCATTTGGGCTGCTATAACAAAAACCATAGGCCAGTGGCTTGTAAGCAACAGACATTTATTTCTCACAGCTCTGGAGGCTGGAAGTCCCAGATCAAGGCACCAGCAGGGTCCGTGTCTTCTGAGAGCCCTCTGCCTGGTCCACAGATACCTGTCTTCTGCTGACTCCTCACAGGGCAGGAGGGGCAGAAGGGCTCCCAGAGGCCGCTTTTATAAGAGCACTAATCCCACTCGTGAGGGCTCCACCTTCATGACCTAATCCCCTCCCAAAGGCCCACTTCCAGATACATCACATTGAGGGTTAGGTTCCAGCATATACATTCTCAGGGGAGGACACAAACATTCTGTCTGTGCCAACATCGTTGCTGCTCAAACTGTGGTCTGTAGAGCGTCGATACTGTCATCACCTGGGAGTCCATTAGACTCCGAGATCTCAAGCCCCACCCCAGACCCACTGGATGAGTCTGCGGCTTAACAAGATCCCAGGCGGTTCCTGTGCAGCTTGGGAAGCACTGGTTTGTTTTCTTATAGAAACTGCCCGTGGTCACCGCAGTTAATATTGATTGCATTTGACATAGTATAGAATGTACAATAGTATGTAGATAGTTAATTCCATGATGTGTTTTCTGTATAGAATTGGTTCAACAGCGTATAATTTTGTGTTATGAGAGGAACACAATTGGTGAGGAAAAGAAAAAATAGATGAGGACCAATTAACATAATCTCAGTGTGGCTTGTCCAAAGGGTGCTCCTCACAGAAAAGTGGAGGAGCCAGTCAGGGCACAGTGAGACTCTGAACAGTAAACACTAGAATAAGAGGGTCTTAAAGTGGCCACAGCTGACCTCAGAGCTGCATGCCCATGATGAGCCACCTGTGAAATTAAAAACCTGGTTTATGCCCAGCCAGTGTTGCTCAGTGGTTGAGCATTCACCCATGAACCAGGAGGTCAGGGTTCGATTCCCAGTCAGGGCACATGCCCGGTTGCAGGCTCGATCCCCGGTAAGGGGCATGCAGGAGGCAGTTGATCCATGATTCTCATCGTTGATAATTCTCTCTCCCTCTCTCCGAAACCAATAAAAATATATTTTTTAAAAATCTTGTTTATGAAACCAACAATGAAACATCAAGCAAATACCAATGTCCAGGGTACAGTGAAATTTTGGAAATGAGCAATTGGAGATTCTAACTGGGTTGGCAGCTGAATGACTAAGAAGTTATAAAAGAGGAGCCCACAAAACCAAGATTTTAAGGAAACTGGAGTTGCATGAATGCAATTCCTCTGCTTCAGTCTGGCTGGTGCAATTTGGCTATCCTGGTATAACCCTGCCGTGGGAACTTACAAGGCCAAATCCCACAAACTGTAAGAACTAGAGGAATTGGTCTGGAGTGTGTCAAAAGTTACAATAGCTAATTAATCTTTGCTCTTTGTACCATGCCTATTGTTGATTTTCTACAGCTTTCTTCTTGAGATTTTATGTTAAAACATAGCATTTTTGTACTTTTTCTTAAACACCATGAGACCAGTAGATAAGAATAAATATTTTCCCAGTTTAGAATTTCACTAGTATAGGAGCCCTTAAAAAGAAAACCCGATAATCTTAGGACCACCCAAAACTCTCTGTTTTCACAGAAAAACAAACAATTATAAACTGCCTCCAATGACTGCTTCCTGAGGCTATTAAATGAGGATCATAATTACCTTTTAAATTATGGTATAATTTGAAATTCTTCAACTATGGTATAATTGGGTCTTTTGTTGCTTACTTAAGCTGTCATTTCTGTTCTTTTTAAGATATTAGCAACAGCTTTGCCTACATGTGATGTGTATTTGCAGCCACAAGGAAGCTATTTCATAATTGACAAAGGAAATATAATACTGAAGAGAAATCAGGAACAGAGCGACCATGCTGACCAGCAGAGCGAGGTAAGCCATTTCTTCATGGCCATTTCTGTGGTGCCTTCAACCACTAACCCAGATGCACCCAGACTGTGCCTGGTCCGTGTGAGTACCCCGTCAGTGTGAGCTCTATTATCCTCAAGAATAGAGTGGAGGGAAGGACGAAGCAAACCCCAAGTAGTTAGAGCCCCTGTGCAAAACTTTGATGGCTTTATTTCTTTTCACAACAAAAATTCCTGGAAAGCTGGATTCTGAAGAGTTAGAGACTCGGGTACTGTGAATTCACAATTTCTTGTCATTTTAGTACGAAAAAGGTACAGTTCTGAGAAATGGCTCTCCTCCTAATTTGAGAAATGAAACATGCTAATGTCCCTGGGATGAAGGTGCATGGCTTGGCCCTCGATTCCAAGGCGGTTGTAATCGGTCAGTGCTGGTGTGAGGGCCAGGACGATGCCACCCGCCGGGGGCCCTGCTCCAATGGCTTCAGAAGGCTGGAGGGGCCTGAGGACCTCACAGCCAGCCAGCCATTATCCACTCAAAGTTGGGACTGCTTCAGGCCCATGTCCTTCGTCCAGTCGTTACACCGGGATCTTTACTGAGAGTCCCCTGTGCATGTGTGTGAATGGGCATGTTGCAGAAGCAAAGGAAAACAGACGCTGGCTGTCTTGTTTACAAACCTAGCGCCTGAAACGGTTCATTTCATATAAGAGACCTTGTGTGAATGAAGTGGTTGAATGAATGGCAACAGAAATACGTAGCCATGGAACCTGTCTAAGATTGTTGGGAAATGAGCCATGTGCACAAATGACTAACGTGTGCCAGGCAGGCGGGCCAAGTACACAAAGGAGGTGCGCATACGTGACGTGGACTTCAGTTTCGGGAGAACTGGCTCCTGCTGACAGCGTCCACGAAGGCTGGGTAGTGGTGTTCCTCCCTGTGTGTGCCTACATGCCAGTGGTGGCGGCCTGGCTCTCTCCTGCTTCCCTTGCCCTGCCGCATGCCCAGGAAGCCTTCTCTGGCTTCTCAATCTGAAGTCCTCCTGAATGAGAAGGGCAGGGAAGCCGTCACTGCCCCCTCCATGGGCTCCCTGTGACACAGACCAGTCAGCCTCAAGTTTTACTGTGTGCAAGTGTAACCCTGGGAGTTAGTTTCGAATGCATGTTGTAGGGCAGTGATGACGAACCTCTGACACGCGTGTCAGAGGTGACACGCGAACTCATTTTTTTGGTTGATTTTTCTTTGTTAAATGGCATTTAAATATATAAAATAAATATCAAAAATATAAGTCTTTGTTTTACTATGGTTGCAAATATCAAAAAATTTCTATATGTGACACGGCACCAGAGTTAAGTTAGGGTTTTTCAAAATGCTGACACGCCGAGCTCAAAAGGTTCGCCATCACTGTTCTAGGGCCTTCCCCTTGAGATGCTGAGTCTGATGCTGGTCAAGAAATCTGCCTGTTTGCCAAGCACCCCAAGGTGATTCCGATTTTGCAGACCTCGATTTAATAGACTCCTGATTTAATAGACAAAACTTCTCATCCATTACTTGTCATATGTGAAAAGTAACACCCTAATTTTAAAATTCTTTTAAGCAAGATTTGCTTTCAGTTAAATTAATAGGTTATTCTTTGTTATTAATTCATTGTTATTTTTAACAAATTTTAGCAAATAGGCCATATGTTGGAAGAAACACTATAGTAATTTCACCAACATAAATAAATATTACATATCTATAACTATAGGGTACGTATTTAAACCTGAGTTACTACTCGCAAACAATGTTCCCCGAATGATTAACATGTGGTCACACTGCATCGCACATGGTAACGGGTTCTCTTGTCACATGGTGTGACTTCCTGCAGAAGTTTGAACACATGCTGGCCTATGTTCCGACCCGCGCTAAGCCCCGCCCCGCCATGTGCATTTGTTTATTCCCAGTGACTGGTGAATGCATGCATTTACTAGACCTATTCAGTATACATTTAAAATTACTGTAATGCATATAGAAAATTTTACTGCAAACTTAAACTTTTCGTACATACTTAATTTTAATTACACAAAACGTGTCTACATAAGTAAAAACAGATAAACTAATTTGTTAATTTTTTAACATACACATTCAGAAAACCCACTTTATTATATAACTAGAGGTCCGGTGCACAACATTCGTGCACTGAGGGGGGGGGGGGCGTCCCTCAGCCTGGCCTGCGCCCTCTCACAGTCCAGGACCCCTCGGGGGATGTCCGACTGCCGGTTTAGGCCCGGGCCTGAACTGGCAGTCGGACATCCCTCTTGCAATCCGGGACTGTTAGCTCCTAACCACTTGCCTGCCTGCCTGCCTGCCTGCCTGCCTGATTGCCCCTAACCCCTCTGTCTGCCTGCTTGATCACCCCTAACCACTCGCCTGCCTGCCTGATCACCCCTAACTGCTCACCTGCCTGCCTCATCATCCCTAACCATTCTGCCTGCCTTCCTGATTGCCCCTAACTGCTCACCTACCTGCCTGTCTGATCATCCTTAACCACTCACCTGCCTGATCACCCCTAACTGCCTCTGCCTTGGCCCCTGCCAGGGCAGCTTCGTCCAGAAGGATGTCCGGAATGATGTCCAGAAGGTCGTTCAGCTGTCCGGTCTAATTAGCATATTACACTTTTATTATTATAGATTCCTCCATATCTCTCAATGCCAGAAATATTACTCATGCCAGTGCCTTCCCTTCCCCTTTGTGCTGCCCCAGCTCTCCAGAGATGGCAGTGTTAGCAGTTGCTCTGCTCCGCACCCCAGGGATCATCAGTTGTGTTACTCACAGGGTTCTCACTGCCAGATGAACAGTACATGAGCCACCTCTAGAACTGCATCTAAAAGTCAGTCCACTTTTAGGGAAACTGGTACCAACCGTCTCAGGTCAGAAGCCGTGGAAACAGAGCCTACCACTGGATTCTGGTACAAATGATTTATTTAAAAAGTGTTTTTAAGAAAAGCTCTTTTTTTAAAAAAAAAATTGATTTCAGAGAGAAAGATCCATTGCTCCACTTCATGTATGTATTCATTGGTAGATTCCTGTGCCCTAACCAGGGATCGACCCCACAACCTTGGTCTATTGGGATGACACTGTAACCAACTGAGCTACCTGGCCAGGGCTCCAGGAAAACTCTTTGAGAGAGTGAAGAAAACAAGATAGAGAAGGGGGAAGGGTAAGATGTGGTCTCAGGTGAAACAAGCCTTGATCCACAGGCCGCTCAGAAGTGAACACTGCAGACAAAGCTGTCCCGCTCCTCCAGACAACCAGGCCAGCCTTGGCTGTGAGCTGTCTTGGCGGGTGTAGGAGGGCAATTCTCCAGAGAAGGGGAGTAACACACACACAGCAAGTGGGTGATGGTGCACCAGCCGGGTAAGGGGATCCCAGAGAGGTACCTACAGCATCTACTACAATTGTGAGAGTGTTTCTACAATGTCTGAAAATGTTACATGTGGATGAGTTACATACACCCCTGTCTATTGAAACCTGGGGGTATAGTTTCTCATTCACATGTCTGTCTCCAAAGCAAGATTCTAAACTGCTCTGTGGCAGAGTCTCTGTCCTACTCATCTTAGCATTCCTAATTCAGAGGCTGACATTGAATTGCTACTAGGTAAACATGTATCAAATGAAGAGAAGTTTGAGGGAGATCACAGAGCAACTTGAACTCCAGGCGAAGTCATTTGGGCGTGATTCCGTTGGCAGTTAGAGTTTGAAATGCTTGTTGGCAGTGGTGTGTAATATGTACTGGACTTGGGAGAGAATGGAGAGAACAGCCAAGAGACGGTTGCAGCAATACAGGCAAAAGCAACAAGAGGGAGAATTCCCGTGGAGGCTGTGAGTATGGAGAGGCAGATGCAAAAGCCATTAAAGAAAAATTATCTACAGGATCCAGATGGCCCCAGGCTGACATCTAGGTCAGAGCCTTTTGGGGATGTTAATCAATCAAGTGAGTTAGTTTTGTGCTTATCTGCCTCCAACCAGATAGAAGACCATTTCTCATGTTTGCATGGAAGAAATACCTAAATAATAAGTACATGTGAGTTTTCTCATTGTCATCAGACATTTAGGCAAAACCCATGAACTAGGCATGGGAATCTTTTCTTCCTTTCCATATTTTGGCCGGGATCCTACAGTTGTATCTGAGAAAGCCCAAGGTCATCAATGTGGAATGTGCTGAATTCATTAGCACATGGAGTACTTAAAATTAAGGTGGTTTCCAGTGACACTGCTTTCAAATCAATCATTCTGTACGTAACATATGTTCCAAAGCTGCAGACTGAGCACGCTATTCTCAGCCGTGCTCTGGCCTGGATCCTGGGTAGAATAATTTATCCGTGACTCAGATGGATCATATATGGAAATATGTGGGTTTCTTTTCTTTTTTTTCCCTCCAAACTCTTCCAGGCCTTGACTATCGGCAAAGCTTATGTACATTTCTCTCTGATTTTAGGGCTCAGTGACTTTTGGCCGGGTGCCTGCCGTTCACGTTGTTTTCCGAGAGCCAGTTCCCGGGATGCCCGTTACGTGGACGGGGCCTGGATTTGCCAGGGTTCTCCCTGGGGCTGGCTTAAGATTTGCTGTCAACAACATTCCCTCTCCCATGGACTTCACCGTGGCCATTCGCTATGAAACTCAGGTATCCTTTAAGTCCAACGCCTTCGAATGGTAAAAAATTGGAATACATTCTTGCACTAAATGTTTCCATCCCAGTCTTGCTAGATATGTTTATCTTCAAAGTATTTGCAGAAGAAGGAGAACATCTGGAGGGCATTATACACCAAAGGGTTTCCTAAAGATACTAAAGCAACAGAGTGAGCCATAGGCACACATGCTTTATTCCAGGGAGAGAAGCTAAAGTTGGAGTTATATATTTAAGGCCCTCGATCTAAGGAAGTGGTGATGGAATGTTTGTGTAAGAATAATAAATAACTAAAATAACATAAACCCTGCCTCTCCTGGGACTTTTTTTCTAAAAACTTAATAAACTAACATACGTGCAGAGATTCAGACTCCAGGGCTGCAGCAGAAGCATTTATTTGCATTTGGATTTCCCCTGAAAGAAGAGAACAGCTGAAAGCAGGCTGCTCTCTTGTCTCCCATTGCCTTACTACCCTTCCTGGCCTTTTAAGAAGTATCTAAACAGAATAGGGAATAAATTAGGAAAATATTTGATTTAAAGCAATAGATTCTAAACTTTTCTTTGTATAAACTTTTCTTTGATAATCTGAAACCCCACAGGCCATCTCCTCTGAAAAATATTTTCTGTGGCGGGGGGGGACACGACGACGACGATGGTTCCAAAGTCGCTCTAGGGACCACACTCTGGAAGCGCTCACTGTGTGCTTATGACCAGAGCTGCTGATCCGTTTTGAAAATCTTGATATGACATAATTCTCTGTTTCCCACTTACACTCAAAAGCCAAGGGACTTCAATGAACTTTGACCTAGTGAGTATGACAAGAAAGTTCTAAATATATCTATATATAAATTTTTCCATTGAGAAGACACATCTCTAACAGCTTTAAAATGCTTTTCCAAATTGTAAGGCTTTCAGAGGATAGCTAATTGGCATATAAACAAATATAAATACATCTAGTAATAAAATAGCTAAATCACATAATTTATATACTAATATTTACATAATAATGTGAAAAAATGCATCTCCTTTTTTAAAAATATATATATTTTATTGATTTTTTTTAGAGATAGGAAGGGAGAGGGATAGAAAGTTAGAAACATCGATGAGAGAGAAACATCGATCAGCTGCCTCCTGCACACCCCCTACTGGGAATGTGCCCGCAACCAAGGTACATGCCCTTGGCCGGAATCGAACCTGGGGCCCTTTAGTCTGCAGACCGACGCTCTATCCACTGAGCCAAACCGGTTAGGGCAGAAAAAATGCATCTCTTTTTATGGAGAATTCCACATTGTTATTTCTGTTCTGTGATTTATGAAAATGATGAGTTAACTGCTGCTTGGAAGGCAGGGGTTAAAGGGAAGACGTGTCGGGAATACAGGGTTCTCTCAGGCTCGTGAACTATGTCACTATGGCCAGAAACAATATTCCTCTACCTGGGTCACAATTAAGACACCAGCGAGGTGGGCCTGAGAGTAAACCTCTAAGGCTTTTTTCAACTAGAAAATTCTATTTGCCAAAAGGGCCCTGGGTTACAAATTCGATTCCATGCAGTCTTCACCAGGTATATGTTTGTGCGTGCAAAACAGGCTCCCACATCCTCACAGTGACATGCTTTTATGTCCTGCCCATCTAGTCCGCAGCTGACTGGGCTGTCCAGGTTGTGGTTAACCCCCCTGGAGGGAGCGAGCACTGTACACGCAAGATCCCACCGCAGAAGCCTCCGTCTTTCGCCTTACCCGCGACCTCAAGGTATGCTCCGGACCTGCCCTCAAACACTGAAGGTTTCCTAGCATTTTGTTCATCTATCAGTAACATGTATTCAGGAACTAGTGGGAGAAGAGGTGTAATAACCCTTTCCCATTCTCTCAGTGGCTTTGAGATGTGAGAAAGTGAAATGCTACAAGAATAAGAGTAAAATATTCAGTTGAGTTATCTCAGCTGAGAGTCTGTGAGGTAAAAAGCTACTAAGTTTGCCTCATCAGAGATCTGTGGCAAAAGAAACCAGAGACCCTGTTGATATTAGTATGGCAGGTAGGATGGAGGTCATTGGTATTATCTTTTCCCCACAGCAGTCATGACAACCCATGGCCAATAGTTTCTAAGGCTTTGCTCTCTGGCACAACCTGTGGAAGAGCCACGGAGATTCTGCATTTACTGTCCACCTGGACCTCGCCGCCACCCCACAGTGGAACCCACATCGCAGCATAGGTGGAACGCTACCAAACACCGGGGTCACTTCCGTTACATAACTGTACTTTTGTCATTGAATTGTTGCTTTATTTCTCCTAATACAGAGTCGTGCTGCTTCCCACACCCATCTGTTTAGAACCAGACGTACAATATTCTATAGACGTCTATTTTTCCCAGCCCTCGGAAGGAGGGTCCCACGCTCACTCACACATCCTTGTTGATTCTGTAAGTATCACAGAGCGTGGTGGGTGCTGCCTTCCAAACTGAGCTCCATTAAAATCCCGCGTTTAGACTCTCTGGTGAAATGTTTCTTGAGACGTGTGGATGTATTTGTTTCATTCCAAAAATCACCTATTTTCTCTAAAAGTCACCTAATAACAATTGCAAATTTTATAGAACAGGAAGTGCCAGTAATGATTTGAAGTGTGTTCTTGCTCAGTTCCTACCGCGTCTTGCTCACATTCTATCATTTACTCATATAGAGTCAACACCCTATAACAGTGATGGCGAACCTATGACACACGTGTCAGAGGTGACACGCGAACTCATTTTTTTGGTTGCCTTTTCTTTGTTAAATGGCATTTAAATATATAAAATAAATATCAAAAATATAAGTCTTTGTTTTACTATGGTTGCAAATATCAAAAAATTTCTATATGTGACACGGCACCAGAGTTAGGGTTTTTCAAAATGCTGACACGCCGAGCTCAAAAGGTTCGCCATCACTGCCCTATAAGGTCAGCACTATGATTATTCTCATCTATAGACGCCAGGACTAGCTCAGGGTCATACAGCTAGGAGTGAGGAGTCTGGAGTCAGAGTCAGACTGTCTGATTCCAAAGCCTCTGCCCTGAGCCAGGACAGCATTACTGAGTTTCGGGGGAAATCCCACCCCTTTAAAATTAGCATCTTATGGATACATAGTCTGCTTTCATGTTGTAATCAGAGTGCTCATACAAGTATGGGTGTGGACATTTTTCACTTCGCATTATATCATAAGCATTTTTTACTATGTTTATGTAGTTTTACTTCTAGGAACAATGCATAGTATTTCTTTGAGTGACTGTTTTTAAATTGTATTTTTCAATTACAGTTTACATTCAATTTTTTTGTATTCATTTCAGGTGTACAGCATAGAGGTTAGATAATCATCCACTTTACAAAGTGCTCTCTGCACATACTTACTATAATAGTATGGACTGTATTCCCTATGCTGTGCTTACATCCCTGTGACTATTCAGTAACTCCCAGTGTGTACTTCTTAGTCCCTTCACCTTTTGCACCCAGACCGCCAACACCCCTCCCATCCAGCAGCTATCAGTCTGTTCTCTGTGTCTGTTTCTGTTTTGTTTGTTGTTGTTTTTTGTTTTGTTTATTTTGAGTGACTCCTTTCAGCATCTTTCCCCCACAGAGTTGGACCACAGATGGTCCTTCTAAACCTCCACTCTGGGCACTGCAGACCCAGGCTTGTCACTGGGCAGAGTTTGGCATTGAGTGAATTTATGTAATTTACTTATCTAGTCCCCTGCTTGTGGAATAGTTTCTTCTATTTTTCAGTATGTATAGTTGGTACATATTTTTCAGTGTTTTAAAATATAGACCTAATCTAAGGTTTTATGGCTCTTGAAATAACTTATCAAATTGTTTTCTGGAGCTATCCTTCAACTAATTTTCAGGATTACCAGTGAAAGTACCAGTTTCATCCATCTTCGGCAAAATTGTATAGAATTGTTGGGGAATTTTTAAAAGTAATTTTGTGTATAAAAATCCAATTGCTTTGTTTAAATTGTATTTTTAAATATTTGTAAGAATCTTCTAATATCTTGATTTAATTGGCAAAATGCAACCTACAAATTATATTAGAACACAGCATGCCCTTGTTTTTAAGTGTTATCTACGGCTGCTTTCAAGCTACAGAGTCAGAGCTGAGTACTCATTACAGAGACCTTAGGTCAGTGACCCTTTAATACAGTTCCTCATGTTGCGGTGACCCCCAATTTCATTGTTACAAATTGAACATAATTAAAGCATAGTGATTAATCACAAAAACAATATGTAATTATATATGTGTTTTCCGATGGTCTTAGGTGACCCCTGTGAAAGGGTCGTTCGACCCCCAAAGGGGTCGCGACCCACAGGTTGAGAACCGCTGCCTTCGGGCCTCAAAGCCAAAAATATTTACTACCTGGCCTTTTATAGGAAGAAGTTTGTTGATCCCTGATTTAATTAGATGTATCCATATTTTGTGAAATGTGTCTTCAGTTTTTTGCCATTGAACATTTTAAATTTATATCCTCAAGCTTTGTTATTTCATCATCTACTATAAAATTCAATATGAATCAGGTATATCTTGGATTTTATTCAACAAGCTCATCAATTATGGCATCAAAAAATACAATTGTTTTAAGATTATTTTACCAATGGTAGATTGCAAGATTTAGGAAAAAAGGAAAGGAAAGAAGGAAGGAGGAAGGAAGGAAGGACACCTAGTTAAATTTGAATGTGGTATTAAGTATGTCCCAAATGTTGCCCTCAAATATTGCATGAGACATATTTACACTAAATAAAAATTAGTCATTGCCTCTCTGAAATTCAGTTTTAACTAGGTGATTTGTATTTTATATGGCAATTTTAACCAAAGGTGGTCTAAAGCCTGCACCCGGAGGGGCCACATAATGTCGTGGTGAGGTTCTACCGTATTATGGTAGAAATGAAGTAGAAAGTAGAAACAAACTCTTGGATGTGAAATTCCAACTATCGTGATTCTCCTAGCTACACAATTCATATTCTCTGCCGAGGAGTTTTAAATAGAACTGTGCTCATGAACCAACGTATGAGCTACAAATAGAGAAAATCATATTTAGCAGGTTTAATTCAGGGGAAATAAAGCTAAGAGTTGGGAACCCAGGCAGCATAAAGAAAGGAAAAGGAGGAACATAAGGAAGTCCTAAATCACAAAGGGATGTTATTATTAATAATAATAATAGTCATGAAATTCACATTTATAAGAGCCAACTTACTCCTCATTTTAAATCCATATCCTAAATATTTCTAAACTTCATAAGCTCCCAAGATTATCACTTGGTGATGTATTAAATGCATCCATTTAAATTATCCATCCGTCCCCAGCTACTGAGTGTTTGTGGACCAGGCACTGGGCTGGTTCCTGGGTGTAAAACATGGTTCTCGCCCTCTAAGAATTCTCAGCCTGATATAGAAGACAGTGATGTAAACAAAATCATGGCAATGGTGTTTGATAGATGCACAATAGAAGTAGATCATTTGAAATTAACTTAAAAATATGTCCATTTGATCTGTTTTCAAGCAATCATTCTCTTATATAAGTATGAAACCCCTAAAACCTAAATAAAAACTAAGAGAGTAAGCTGATCTTGGCAAACTGTCAGAAATCTCAGAGGAGGTCCCTGTTTGAGGTCAGATTCCTCAGGGACTCGGGCGCACCTGATTTGTTGAGGGCATGTGGGCAGGAGAAGAGGAGTGAGGGGCTAAGAGAGGGCAGGGAGTGACCGAAGAAGGATGTGGTCTCTAACGTGTAGCTGCAGCCTGATCCCCAGGGAGCTCTGGACCACGAATCACACCAGGGAACTGGTTCCACCCAGAGGCAAAGTGGTGGGCCTGTGTGTGCCCGAGTTATCAGCTACAGGCTCACCACCCCTCCCCTGGCCCCCAGTGAGTGCAGTGACTCCTGGACAAGGTGGCGGACTCCAGTTTTCTGGAGAAGAGGACAGCTGTGAGCCTTTAGCAGTCAACGCCATGGCAGCTGGCAGGCAGGAAGATCTGGGCAGGGCACAGTGCCCCCACAGTCCCTGACCCAGGATGCCCAGTAGGAGAAAATGGTTGCGCATTGTATGATTACAGACTAAGGCAGTGGTTTCTTTTTCTTTTTTTTAATATATTTTATTGATTTTTTACAGAGAGGAAGGGAGAGAGATAGTTAGAAACATCGATCAGAGAGAAACATCAATCAGCTGCCTCCTGCACACCCCCTCCTGGGGATGTGCCCACAACCAAGGTACATGCCCTTGACCGGAATCGAATCTGGGAACCTTCAGTCTGCAGGCTGACGCTCTATCCACTGAGCCAAACCGTTTATGGCAAGGCAGTGGTTTCCACACCATGGTAACACTATGGAATACCCATAATTTCTTATCACAAGTAGCCTAGTTCACAGTCTTTTAAATCTAAGACAAATTTATTAGCAAGTTTAAAATATAGTAATAAGGACCCTAAAAAGATACAGGCTCACTTATTTTCTTTGCCATTGATCAATAAATGAAAATATATAGTTGAAGGCTTCTTAAATAAGCTGAAAATCATAAAATATTTAGTCGTAAGCAATTTAAGGAACTGAATTCAGTCCCTTTTTAACTATTACTCTCATACATGGACCTGATTTTTTTATAACTGGAATCTGAACAGTGAACATGTCTTCTTTTCTCGTTATTTTAAAAGCTTGGTCTTCTTCCCCAAATCAACGCATTGGAGGATTTCTACAGCAAGCAGGATGCAGATGGACACCAGCTGCACTCCTGTGTTGAAATTGCCTCAGAACCAGGAGCTCAGGAGCTCCCCGGTGCATGTGAAAGGCTTACAGTGAGCATGTCCGCCAGGCTGCACAATGGGGCAGTGGGTGAGTATCCCTGAGTAGGCTCTCCTGAAGCACTGCTACTTGTGAAAATGCTTTTTGGAACATGAGTGAATCAACTTAATTTATTTTAGCATCTATTCCAAACAACCAATCTTGCCCGATGATTAGATACACAGAGTAATCTACTGATGTGTGGGAATCAGAATGTGCAGTACAGGAACTGTATAGAAGGAGAATCCTTGCAGTAGTAGCATTAAGATGCCAGATTGCAGGAACAATAGTCCTAAAAGTGTATTTCTTTAGAATCCTAGGATTTTGGGTCTGAAATGAACTCTAAACAACTTCTTTCATCCCCAAACCATCACTGAATAAATGAGACCATTAGGGTCTAAAAACATTACTTGCCCATTGCACTAAGTTTAGAGCAGGTTTCTCACCCTCACTAGTTTCCAAATTTTGGCCTGGATAATGCCTTGTTGTGGGGCTGGGGTGAGGTCTGTCCTGTGCATTATAAGATGTTTAGCAACATCCCTATCATCGACCTACCTGATACCAGTAGCACCCTTACCCTGGTTGTGACATCCAAAAATGTCTGCAAACTGTGACATATGTCCCTTAGGGGCAAAATTCCCCCCCAGTTGAGAACTACTGCTAGAGAGTGACAGCTACAGTGAGACCCTGGTCTTCCTAAGTTCCAGGCATTTGTTTTTTAAAAAATATGTTTTTATTGATTTCAGAGAGAGGAAGGGAGAGGGAGAGAGGAATAGAAACATCAATGATGAGTGAGACTCATTGACTGGCTGTCTCCTGCACGCCCCCTACTGGGGATCAAGCCCGTAACCCAGGCATTTGCCTTGACTGGGAGTTGAATCGTGACCTCCTGGTTCATAGGTTGGTGCTTAACCACTGACCCACACTGGCCAGGCCCAGGCAAATGCTTTTTCTTTCATACTGAAGGGCTATGTCTTCAGGCTGTCCATAATCTCATGAAAAGTATGGAATAAGAAAATTCAAAGGTGTAGTCCAGCACCAACACAGATCATCGGGAATTGAAGTAATAATAATATCAATAATAATAACTAGCCGAAACCGGTTTGGCTCAGTGGATGGAGCGTCGGCCTGCGGACTGAAAGGTCCCAGGTTCGATTCCGGTCAAGGGCATGTAGCTTGGTTGCAGGCACATCCCCAGTGGGAGGTATGTAGGAGGCAGCTGGTCGATGTTTCTCTCTCATCGATGTTTCTAACTCTCTATCTCTCTCCCTTCCTCTCTGTAAAAAATCAATAAAATATATTAAAAAATAAATAAATAAAAAATAATAATAATAATAACTAAATTGGAACAATTAGTGACTAAAACTATTTTAAGCCTTTCATTAACTTGAGTAATGTTTATTGTTGTTATATTTAAGTAATGTTTATTGAGCATTTATTAGATGCCAAACACTGTTCTAAGTACTTCATAAACATTATTACCTTTAATCCGTATAATCCTACATTATCCCCCTTTCACAGAGAAGGGATTAAGGCCTAGAAAGGTGCATGAAAGAGAGGAAAACCAAAGCCACTAGGAGCATGAGGTGCTTCTCGGCCACTTCCTTCACCTCTAACATCCTTCTTTCGTTGCTTGCAGCCTGCCAGTGTCATCCCCAGGGCTCAGTTGGGACCGGCTGCAGCCCGCTTGGAGGCCAGTGCCCGTGTAAGCCTCACGTGGCCGGGCGCCGCTGTGACAGGTGCTCAGCAGGAAGCTACGGTCTGGGGCATCACGGCTGTCACTGTAGGTAACAGAAAACAGATGCTCTTGTTCACAACCTCGGAGTTTCGAAGGGAGGAAAATTGATGTGTGGAGTCTAAAAAGGGAGCAGAGTGGGAACTGACTACATTACTCGGGCTGTCTATGTAGATAAAATGTATGGAAATTTTTTTCTACCGTCCTTCTTCTATCCATTCACTGGGCACTGAGTGTGCAGAGCTCCGTAAGGAAGTGTGAGTGATGAGAAAACCATGGTTCATGCTTCTGGGAGTTTGCAGTCTGTATCAAAGAGGGGGTAGTCCGGGTAGGCTGTGGGACACCATGAAGGGAGTTGGCTGTGCAAACCCAGCTGTGTGATTGGGTCCGTCAGCCAGTGGCTGGAAAGACTAAAACAATGATTAGATTGGGAAGTTGAGAAAGGGGCCAACACTGCGACCAGGATATGACGCTTCCTGATGCTGGGGTTGCAGAGTCCCGGAACTCATTTTATAATCTGCCCATTAGTAAGGACTTGGATGGGGCGTCACCCACAGTAGTAAATTTAGTTATCCTACATGTCAAGGTATGTAGTTCTCTATTCTTCAATGTAAACCATTAGTGAAATACTGTTCCCCTCAGAAACCTGCCTTAGGAACCATGAAAACCACCAGGTACATGAATTCTCCTTTCAGGGAGGGAAACATCTTGTCAGTCACGATTTGGAGAGATGGCACACCTTCCTCGTCATTGCCTGTCTAGCAAACTGCCCATAAAACAGCTTGGGTCCATCTCCACCTTTTTTAAAAAATTTTTTAAATTGATTTTAGAGAGGAAGGGAGAGGGATAGAGAGATAGAAACATCAGTGATCAGAGAGAATCATTGATCGGCTGCCTCCTGCATGCCCGCTACTGGGGATGGAGCTCGAAACCCAGGCATGTGCCCTGATGGGAAATCAAAACTTGACCTCCTGGTTCATAGGTCGACACTCAACCATTGAACCATGCCAGCGGGATCATCACTGCTCTTTTTTCCCTTTTCTTTAAAAAAATGAATTGCTTGCGATACACAAAGGAATATATATTTTTTCCATGTAGCACCCTGTAAACCAAACAGGCATCACAATTTTTTATAGGAAAGATCAGCTTGAGTAATTCAACAATTTAACAGAAAAGGGTTGAGCCTTTACTATCTTGTCCAGGAAAAAAAAAAGCCTGACAGTTTTGAGTGGGGTGTCTTATATTTTTTATAGTCTTAAAGTTTGACTGCCAAGATATATGGAAGTTCAAGTCATTAAAAGCACATTACTTGGCTGGGGCTTTTTTCTGGTTCAGGGAGCACTGCCTCCCCACCCCGACCCCTACCTCCACCCTTTTAGAAAAAAAAAAAAAGCACATTACTTGTTCAGTTCCTCTGCATAAACAACATTTCTCAAACCCAGTTGTTCACAGCTTACAGTTTGTTGAATGAATTGGTGAATTGTTATTTAACCAACAGTCACCTGGTGCTTGCTCTATGCCAGGCTCTGCTCTAGGCACTTTAGAGACTCCCTCTATTCACCTTGATTGGGGTGAGCTGGTAAGTTAGGGACTGCAAAATCAGGCCCGTACCTCTTTCACCAGCACACCATTGCCCCCCACCCCACCATGTTCTCTTTGCTTTATCTAGTGTGTCACTGCCACCCTCAAGGCTCAACGAGCGCTGTGTGTGACCAAATAACCGGACAGTGCCCCTGCCAGGAAGCGGTGGCTGGCCGCAGCTGTGACGGGTGCCTGCAGGGCTATTTTGGATTTCCCAACTGTCACCCCTGCCTCTGTAATTCGTTCGCTGAGCTTTGTGATCCAGAAACAGGATCATGCTTCAATTGTGGGGGGTTTACAACTGGAAGAAACTGTGAAAGGTATGGAATTCATATGTACTTTTATTTTTATTTTTTAAAATATATTTTTATTGATTTCAGAGAGGAAGGGATAGGGAGAGAGAGAAACATCAGTGATGACAGAATCATTGATCGGCTGCCTCCTACACACCCCACACTGGGGATCGAGCCTGCAACCTATCAGGTATTGAACCGCGACCTCCTGGTTCTTAGGTCAACGCTCAACTGCTGAGCCATGCTGGCTGGGCTGGACTTTTATTTTTAAAATTTTCTTTTGTTCCGATCTCACAACACTCTCCAAAAGGCCACTGAGTAGAAACTAACAGTATTGAAGTGTAGAATGGTTGTTCTGGGTGGGAAGATAATGTCATTCCGTCGTCCTTCAAAATCTTGTTATAAACCAGACAGTGTCTGATTAAATTAATAACAGGCATTTGCCTGGCAACATGCTTTTTATATTCCTGAAATAAGACATGTAAATTGAGTGCTATTATATGGAGCTTAATGACTATACCATGGGACTTTCAACAGCAAAAAATCCTCATGCAGAGCAAATAAGCATCTTCTTAAAAAATGAGTTTTTGGAGCTGCACGGTCCTAATGCATAGCAAATGCACACTGGCTAACATGTAAGCTTTTCCTGGGAACATTTTGGTGAAAATAAATTGCCTTGACAGATGCATCGATGGTTACTATGGAAATCCTTCTTCAGGACAGCCCTGCCGTCCTTGCCCATGTCCAGATGTTCCCTCGAGCAATCAGTACTTTGCCCATTCCTGTTATCGGAATCCTTGGAACTCAGATGTAATCTGCAATTGTGCTCAAGGTTATGCAGGTAGGCAGGAGGCTTTATGGTGGTTGATTTGCTTCTATTTCACACGGCTATCTGAAAAGTAATCACATATTAATAATTTATCTACCTTGACCAAATGAATGTTGCAGAATATAAGTTAATGGTAAGAAGACGCAATGTGGTAAATTGCTGCTTTATAAACAAAGAATTTGAATGATTCAAAAACCAATGACTATTTAAAACTCATCCCACTGAGCTATAAATGTTAATGCTGTTCTGGAAAACTAACTGACCAAATGAGTTTAAATCAAATTAATTTATTTAAAATAAAATCATCACATGTTAAGATATATATGTGATAAAATAAATATATGTGATATATATTACATATAACATAAGCAATTAAAAAGTAAAAAATAATAATAGTAATAACCAATCCAATGCTTTCTTTGTATAATTCTGACCAATCAATTTGACTGGCATTTCACAGAGACAAATAATTTTTCCTGACGTCTGGAAGCACTGATTTGGGCGTGGAATGGAGACTGCCTAAGTTAATTCAATATTTGTATCTGTTGCTCAAAAATTTTATTTTGCATAGATTAAGCATGAGTGTAAACATGTTATGTAAACAAGGAAGAAAACTTACAAAGTCCACTTGATTTAATCACACTTAGAAATATGGTGCTCGTATTTTTTTCAGTGATAATTACCATAATTAATTATTTACATGGATAATATTTTTATTATCCCTATGGTTACACATCTCTTGTTAATTGCCTTTTCTCTTATAGTCTCTTCTCCCTGTACATTTTGGCTTGGCTGACCATTTTTTCAAATATGTATATTTTTTATTGATTTCAGAGAGGAAGGGAGAGCGAGAGAGAGAGAGAGAGAGAGAGAGAGAGAGAGAGAGAGACATTAATGATGAGAATCATTGATTGGCTGCCTCCTGCATGCCCCCTACTGGGGATCGAGCGCACAACCCAGGCATGTGCCCTTGACTGGAATCGAACCCGAGACCCTTTAGTCCGCAGGCCAACGTTCTATCCACTGAGCCAAACAGCCAGGGCTTGGTTGGCCATTTTTTAAGAACTGAGCCCATGGTTGGGCTCCCAGAGCATTGCTAAATGGGATGAACCAAAATGTGGATCGGACACCTAAACAAGTGCAGTCGCCTCGTGGTTGGAAGGGCAAGAGTGTCGGAGAGAAGGGATGGTTTCTCCATGCAGTGCTCAGTAAGAACAGCCTCTTGGGCTCATACATTGAGGGAACTACTCTCAGCCATCTTCACCGCTAGACACATGTCTCAGGCTGCTGCTGTTTCACCTCCAGGCCCGGATGGGGTGGGCCCTGCAGAGAGGAAGGGCTGACATGAACTTTGGGCCTGGGGTACACTGTTGTGACCCTGGTTCTATAAGGATCCAGGGGTCTGTGCCCACAACTCTTAGGTTTTAAGAAAGACTAGAATCCATTCTTCACCAAAGACGTTTTAGCCCTGGATAATCATTTTACCCTCCGAATGAATAATAGGCTAAAATGAATGTTTTGTTTTAAATTAGAACACTTTTCCTTATTCATCCTCAATGTGTGACCTCTCATTATCTCTAGAGGCGCCCAATTATTCTCTATTTATACCAACTCCATCCCCCCTCTCACACACACACACACACACACACACACACACACACACACACACACCTCTGTCACCTCATTCCCTTTTTCTCTCTCCATCTTTCAGGTAAGCAGTGTGAAGAATGCTCTGCTGGTTTCTATGGAAATCCCAGAATTTCTGGAGCACCTTGCCGGCCGTGTGCCTGCAACAACAACATTGATGCCACTGACCCAGAGGCCTGCAGCCGAGTGACAGGGGAGTGCCTGAAATGTCTGCACAACACTCAGGGGCCCCACTGCCAGCTTTGCAAACCCGGTCACTTTGGATCAGCCCTCAATCGAACCTGCACAAGTAAGCCTGCAAGGCTCCTGGGGGGAGGGTTGGGGGGGTGGCAGCTCACGAGTGTTGTAGCAGCTCTCCCATGCGCGTTTCAGCTAGGCCAGGGGTGTCAGCACCCCCTGGGTGGTGGGCTGGGGCACTGAACTCATCAGCAGAAACAGGTGCAGCTATAATATACTGTCATTAGATTGCCTTTTCTGACTATTGTTCTAGTGGATTTTTAGCATTATTCCTCCGAGTATGGTTCAATGTGCACTGAGCCAGAGTCATCTAGGGGTGGGGATGAGGCATTAAAATGCAAATTCCTGGGCTGTACCTCAGACCCACGGAATTGACGCTCTGAGAGTGAGACCCACAAATATGCATTGTGACAAGCTCATCAAGTGACTTAAATGTATAAATACGAGAATCATTGATGTAGACGAGGACATAGGTTTAATTCTAGGATAAAGAAAGAGGAGAAATAAACTTCTCTTTTTTAGGAGATATCAGTTGGGTGATATTTCAGTTCACCCAATTTAGTAAACCATTTGGTTTCAGATCTTTCACATAAATGGAACTTTGGTGCATGTCATGAGGGAAAAAGTGAGACTTGCAGTCTTTCTCACGGTCTACTACGTGAGCTCTTTGAACATAGTAGGCACAACCAGATGAAACTGCTGTTCTTGGAGATCAACAACAGTTGAATGGGTTCAACCTACTTAATTCTTTGATAAATTCTGTACTGTTGTAAGGTATTGAGCCCTTTGGAGAAATGATCCGTTTCTCCATGTTTGCATGGGTTGTTGACAGCCATTGTTTTCACTGAATTTACCTCCTGTTCTCTCAGGGTGCTCCTGTCATCCTTCTGGCGTGAATACCTCTGAGTGTCCCCCTAGTTGGGGAGCTTGCATTTGTGACCCAGACTCTGGCGCATGCCCCTGTCTGCCCCACGTCACAGGGCGGACCTGTGACCATTGCGCTGATGGATACTGGAACTTCATCCCTGGCAGGGGATGCCAACCATGTGACTGTGACCCCCAGACCTCTCATGGCAGCCACTGTGACCAGGCAAGTTACTTTAAAGTCACTAAGCTCATCTTGTCTATTTCCTGCCCCTTTTCTAGAACGGGCCATTTCTTCAGGGGGTGCTATTTCCTTTTGTTGGAGAATGGTACTAGAAACCAAGATCTGGGCACCAGATGACCATGTCTGTTTTATGGGCTCCCCTCCACTCCTCACACCCGCAACCGCCAAACATGGAACAAATTGGTAGATCGCCACATGACGGCTTGGCTTCCTAATTCATGAGGAACTCCTAATGTTCGTGACATCACTCTCTGGCATGCTTCTTAGGCCTTTTGGGAAGCATATTTGTAGCAGCCCAACCAAGAGTGCAGTTCAGTCATGGAGATTGAGGGAAGCCTGAGAAGCTGAAAATCAGATGGCGCTGGTTTAACCCGAGAGCCCCTGACAGCAAGAAGATTTGGGGTTGTCTGACCCAAAGGGAATGCCTAGGCCCTAGGGGAAGGCTGCTCTTCACAGTGAGCAAACACTTTCACTCGAGCACAGAGGACACATATGAATGTTTAGATCCTCAGCTGTTTAAACAACTGTGCTAAATGTCTCTCTCTCAGCCAGTAGGCGGTCCCCAGGGCATTCTTGCAGAGAGATCCAAACGTGCCGTCCAGTATTTTCATCAACAGTTTAAGATGGAGCTGGAGAAACAGGCTTATCAGATTTGTGGATATTGCAAAGTTGTAAGCTAATGTGATAAAGACAGAACAAGAGACAAGATATCCTAACAGGCTGCCTTATTGTCTGGAAACCAGATGAGATATTAAGAGGTTACAAGTCAAGTTTTGCAATTGTGTTTTTAAAATTTGCATAACTATTGGGTGGGAGTAATAACTTGGCACCAGCTCATGCGAAAAAACATTTGAGGATTTTCATTGTGTGCTTCAAGTGAGCCAGCTGTGTGGATGGGCTCCTAAGGAGGCGATGCCCATTCAGGCTGGAGGGGGGGGCGGGCATTCCCAGGTTCACAGCAGTCATTGTCCCACTGTCCTCTGTACGAACCAAACGGCTCCATGAGCACAGTTGTCATTTCTGAATGCCACATTTTAAACATTATATTAGCAAACTAATATGTGTCCAAAAGAAGACAACCAGGATAGTGGAATAGAACCATGCTACTCTCTGACGAAGGCTTGAAGGAATTAGGGGTGCTCAGCCTGAAGAAGAGCAGCAAACTCAAGTTGCGAATGACTATCTATAGTTGGGAAGAGGGCTGTAAGAGGAAAGAGGGAGGCTGCCAGGTTTGTGCAACCCATTCGACAGGCCTCAGAACAATGGGGGCACGCTACAAGGAGCAGACTATACAGCAGTGTAATAAAGCATTGCCCAACCATCAAGGGCAACCAGCAATATGACAGCCTTCGTGAGCAACAGGAGCCCCTTACCTCTCTACATTTGAACAGAAGCTAGTGGTTAACTCCAAAGATGGGTAGCAACGTAGTCGATGCTGTCACTCTTGTAATCATGCTGCGTATTCACCGGAAGATACCGGTAGAGGTGTTGTTGAAGCAGATTTGGTCAAGTATAACCGAGGGCCACTCTACTAGTGATTTGCTTCTATGTTTTTCTCTTGTTAATTTTGCAACCTCGTCGGTTTTCAAAAAAGCTGCTCAAGAATCCAGTGGGGATGGTACAAAAAAATTCAACCCTCTTCCCCAAACACAATTAAAGAACTATTATTAAATGATCAAATTTCAAGTGCAAAAAAAAAAATGTTTGTTGAGCAAAACACGGGCCCAATTGGGAGAAACTCCATCGGACATTCCATCATGGAAACATTATTTGCCAAATGAATTGATGAATGTTAGTCCAGGCCTTTAGCCTCTCTGTGTTTTGGGGGAACTCCCATAACTGTAGGGGAAAAGAATGTGGCCCGTTTCCCATGATGTGCTTTGTTTTCATGTACATCTGTGTATGTTTCCCAGTTTGGGGCCACCTGTCCTTGAACAGCTGGAAGCAGGCGGTATAGTCAAGCGCCCTCAGCCAAAACACATTGACTCCTGATCCTTGGTATTGTCGGGGGTGGTGGCTGGCCGTGGGAACCATCCCTCCTCTGACTTTGCACAGCTGTATGTTCTAAATCACTGGAGGGAAAACTGTTTTGTATTAAATGCATTTTTTTTTAGATCAGAAAGCTTGTCAATTCCTCACCCATGAATGTTCTCACAGGTTACAGGCCAGTGTCCGTGTAAATTAGGCTACAGTGGGAAACGCTGCAGTGAGTGCCAGGAAAATTATTATAGTGATCCACTTGGGCGATGCAGTCGTAAGTATTGCTATTTCTAAAAACATGAGTACAGTCAACCGGGTCCTATCACGAGCATGCTGTGAACCAACTGACATTCCAGCTCCTTTATTTTCTAGAAAACTCAAAAAGTTTAATTCCAGTTTTGAAAATAATATTTTTTGTAGCCCTATAAAAGAAGATTTTCTTCTTCTGTACTAAAACTTTAGGCTGTATGAAATATTAGCCTAGATTCAAACTTGTAGCCCATCTTAACATTCCTCAAAGTCATTAAAATGGAACAGGCCTGTGAGATCATAACTTGTAGCCAATTTTCTGCTAGTTGGAAGCATGTTGACAAAAGCAGCTACTCTGGAGTGAATTACAGGCTGGGAGACGGCTCAGAGGAGGCCAGTAGAGGCTTCCTCAACGTGGCTCTCACTCCCTCATTTACTCTACAACACACCTAGAGTGCCTACTGAGAACTCTAGGAAGTGAACAGGGAAGACAAGGCCCTGACCTCATGGAGCTTGTGTTCTAGTGCCTCTCCTGCCATGCCTCAGCACTCGCAGGACTTAGAGATGTGCGTCCAATAGAACTTCCTGCAGAGATGGAAGTGGTCTACATCTGCGCCGTCCGGTGCAGGAGCCACTAGCCACGCGTAGCTGTTGCACATTTGCAATATGGTCAGTGAGAAAAATAACGGTTTATTTTATTGAATTTGTTTAAATCTCTCAATAGCCCCATGTGGTTAGTAGCTACCATATTGGACAGGACAGATTTAATGTCTGGATTAGGTCCTAGGAGAAAGGATTTTTTGCATCTCTATTTAGAGTCAGCTTCCAAGAATAAGTCAATACAAAGAAATAACAGATGTGATGGGCTTGTCGTCATGTCACCTCTACTTATATTGTAACTCTTTCCTCCTTTCCATTCTTTCATAAATGAGCTTTTGTGATCAAAAAAAAAAAAAGCCTGCATTTTCTTGTCCCACTCAAATATATATTCTGAATGGTTTTCTCCAGTCCCGCGCAGTTTAAGTGGAATTACTACTTTAAAAACCAGGGAGAAATTTTGGTTCTTGGAAAATCTGTCTTCCAGAGTGCCTTTCCTTGTGTCCCTTTAATATTTCAATAACCTCATTTTATAAAAATGCTTTCATCTCTTATAGAGAAAACTTTGCAAGTGGTCAACTAAAGCCACAGAACCCACTAAAGCTCCTGGAGAAGAACGGTTAGCGAGGGGGAAACCTTGGCTTCCGGCTGGGGAGGTGACTTCGTGCCACCCCCTGGCCTCTGGACCAAAGCAAACCTGCCAGACAGATGTCTAGTTGAGGGGCCTAATACGTTCATCAGTTTTCATCTGTAATTGGCATTCCTTTATTCAAGCTGGCAAATGCATTTTTAAATCGCTTGTTCCTTGCAGTTAGTCTGATTACATAGGCTAGTGATTCCCTGGCCTTTTGGAAATTGAAGTAACTTCAGTAGCTCTCTCATCCTCCATTCTTAGCCTTAATAAAAAAAAAAATTAGTTAACTAAAGTGCATGTAGCATACAGTGGTTTTTTTTTATTAAGACAAATTAAATTTATTTTTCTCCCTTTTTTAAAAATATATTTTTTATTGATTTCAGAGAGGAAGGGAGATTATATATATATCAATAATGACAGAGAATCATTGATAGGCTGCCTCCTGCATGCCCCACACTGGGGATTGAACCCACAATCCGGGCATGTGTCTAGACATGTGCCCTGATGGGGAATCAAGCCAAGAGCTCCTGGTTCATAGGTTGACATTCAACCACTGAGCCATGTTGGCCAGTCTAATTTTCTCCCGTTTTAAAAAAAGCAAAACAAAACATTTTTAGAGCAATTTTAGGTTCACAGCAAAATTGAAAGGAAGGTACAGAGATTTCCCATATACTTTCTGCCCCCACAGATGCACAGCCTACCCCATGGTCAACATCCCCAAGAGAGTGGTTGTTATAATTGATGAACCTACATTGAAGCATTATAATCACCACAGTCCATAATTTACATATGTCCACTCTTGGCATTGTCCATTCTGTGCATTTAGACAAATGTATCCATCACTATAGTGTCTTGCGGAATATTTTCATTATCCTAAAATTTCCCCCGTGTTCTGCCTATTCTGCCTACCCCCATCCCTAGCAACCATAAATCTTTTTATTGTCGCAATAGTTTTGCCTTTTCTAGATTGTCCTATAGTTGCAATCATACAGTAATTAGTCTTTGCAAATTGGCTTATTTCACTTAGCATTTAAGTTTCCTCCACATCTTTTCATGACTTGAAGCTCTTTAGTGTTTAACACTGGATAATATTTTTATTGTGTAATTTTACCACAGTTTATTTATCCATTCACCTACTGAAGGACATCCTGGTTACCTTCAAGTTTTGGCAATTATGAATAAAGTTGTTATAAGCATTTGTGTGCAGATTTCTGTGTGGACAAAAGTTTTCAGCCCCTTTGAGTAAATACTAAGGAGTGATCCTCCACCCTTTTTTTGAGAATGGGAAGTTCTCCTTATGAAATGGAAGACAGCATAAGTCAGCACACCCAGACTGGATTATACTGAGAAAAGGTGTGGTTATGGGAATTCTTAGAGTCTTTGACATGCCTGAGTCACCCTTGTGGACACTAGCAGTAGTCACTAGTACGCTGTCAACCATTAGATCCATGTTCCTCATTGAAATAGGTAAAGAACTCACACACACTCACACTCACATTAAAAAAACAAAACAAAACAAAAACAACACCTAATTTTCCTATATAATAAAAGCCCAGCGACCGAAACAGTGGAATGACCAGAGACCAGAACTACCGGCCCCTTGTCCAGGCTGGCCCAACTCCCCAACGGGGACCCCCACCCAAATTGGGGGCATGGCCAGCCTGCAAACCGCCTGCAGCCCCTCGCCCCGGCTGGCCCTGACCCCCAGCGGGGACCCCCACCCCGATCTGGGGCCCCCATCAGGGCAGGCCAGCCAGCCAGCCCCCACCCATGCACCAGGCCTCTATCCTATATAATAAAAGGGTAATATGCAAATTGACCCTAACGATGGAAGGACCAGAATGACTACTGGACCAGTCACTATGAGGTGCACTGACCACCTCTCGGTCTCTTTCCCTGACCGGCTCCAATCGCCTGATGGCAAATGGGGAACCAGGGGTGGGGGTGGGGGGCCGGCTGCAGGAAGCCAGGGAAGATGGCCCTGATCACAGGCCAGGCCTAGGGACCAAACCCATGCACAGATTTCATGCACCAGGCCTCTAGTTTCTATATAAAAACCATAAACTGATTCATTGGTGGAATGAAAAGGAGAATGCTGTATTTTAATGACCATTGCACAGATCTCTGAAATTTTAAATGTTCACCTTAGAAACAGGAGTTGGGGAGATTCTCAAGGTCTTTATTCTTGAGCTAGTTATAAGCAAAAGGCCAGGTGATGACATCTCTGCTCCTTCTCTCTCTCTTTAGCATGTGACTGCAACAGGGAAGGTACCCAGAAGCCCATCTGTGACCGGGACACTGGCATGTGTCACTGCCGGGAAGGTGTCAGCGGCCAGCGGTGTGATCACTGCACACGGGGTCACGGCCAGGAATTCCCTGCTTGTCTTCGGTGTCACTCATGCTTTGATCAATGGGACCACGCCATTTCTTTCCTCTCCAGCGCAGTGCAAGGGTTAATTAGGCTGGCTGCTAGCATGCAAGATAAAAGAGAGACCCTGCCTGTCTGTGAGGCTGACTTCAAAGGCCTTGGAGAGAACATGTCTGAAATAGAAAGGATTTTAAAACATCCTGTTTTCTCATCTGGGGAGTTCTTAAAAGTCAAGGATTATCATGACTCTGTTCGGTAAGATTTGTGCTCAAGCAATAGATAGTGAAGTTCCTGATTTATCTTAACTTCTACTTTAACAGCCTTCAGTTTAAAAATGTACTTAAATGTGTGTTGACACTAAAGAAATAGGATAGTAAATCCAGTTAATAGTCAGACTGGTGATTATGTTTGTCTGTCTCTTTTTTAAAAATAATTTTTATTTTTAAATTACAGTTGACATATAATATTAATTTAGTTTCAGGTGTATAACACAGTGATTAGACACTCATATAACTTATTAAGTGATCTAGTACCCATTTGACACCATACATAGTAATTACAATATTATTGACTATCTTATCTATACTGTACTTTACATCCCCATGACAATTCTTTAACTACCAATTTGTACTTCTTAATCTCTTCACCTTTTTCACACATACCCCTAACCCTATTCTACGTGGCAACCATCAAAATGTCCTCTGTGTACTAGTAAGTCTGTTTCCGATCTGCATGTTTGTTTATTTTGTTTTTCAGATTCCACATATAAGTGAAATCAAATGATATTTTTTCTTTCTCCGTATCATGTATTTCACTCAGCACAACACCCTTTAGGTTCATCCATGTTGTTGCAGATGGCAAAATTTCATTTTTTTTTATGGCTGAGACATATTTCATTGTATATATGTACCACTTCTTCTTTATCCATTCATCTAATGGATACTTAGGTTGCTTCCATGTATTGGCTATTGTAAATAATGCTGCAGTAAACATATGAATGCATATGTCTTTTCAATTTAGTGTTTTGGATTTCTTCAGATAAATACCCAGAAGTGGAATTGCTGGGTCATTGGCTGTCTCTTGTTATAGCCTTTGTTTTAAAGTCTATTTTGTCTGGTATAAATTTTGCTACCCCAACTTTTTTTCATTTTCATTTTCATTCAATATCCTTTTCCATCCCTTTTTTTTTTCAGTCTGTGTGTGTATTTCAATCTGAAGTGAATCTCTTGTAGACAACATATGTAAGGGTCTTGTTTTGTTATCCATTCAGCCATGGTATATCTTTTGATTGGAACATTTAATCCATTTACACTTAAAGTAGTTATTGTCATTTTATTATTCATATTTTTTTTATCTTTTCTTTTTCTTCTTCTTAAAGAAGACCCTTCATTATTTTTTACCAGAGACCTGGTGCACAAATTTGTGCATGGGTGGGGTCCAGCCAGCCCGCCCTGATCGGGGCCGATCGGGGCCAATCAGGGCAGGCCGGCCAGGGGGAGGGGCCCTGGGTAGTTGGCAGGCCAGCCCTGCCCCTGGTTGAACTCCTGGTCGAGGGGACAATTTGCATACTACCCTTTTATTCTATAGGACTAGAGGCCCAATGCATGAAATTTGTGCAAGAGTAGGCCTTCGCAGCCACGGCTGCCTTGATCCCTCCCTCGCAGCCGAGGCGGTTGCCTCCATTCTCCCTCATAGCCGCAGGCAGATGCCTGGATCCCTCCCTTGCAGCCACGGCTGCAGCCCTGGCTTCATCCCAGAAGGACATCAGGAAGGACGTCCGTTCTGATTAGCATATTACATTTTTATTATTATAGATAATACTGTTTGGTGGTGATTAATTCCTTTAGCTTTCTTTTTGTCTTGGAAGCTCTTTTTATGTCCTTCAATTCTAAATTATAGCTTTGCTGGGTAAAGTAATCTTGGTTGGAGGTCCTTACTTTGCATTACTTCGAGTATTTCATGCCAGTCCCTTTTGGCCTACAAAATGTCTGTTGAAAAATCAGCTCAGTCGTATGGGAGCTCTCTTGCAGGTAACGAACTGCTTTTCTCTTGCTGCTTCGTCTTTAACCTTTTGCGTTTTAATTATGATGTGTCTGGGTGTGGGCCTCTTTGGGTTCATCTTAGTTTGCAGCATCAGAGAAGAAGGTGATGGCAAATGAAAACACACACGGTACACTCACCAACAAGGAACCTCCTTGTCACCTGTGATCATTAAAAGTTAAGACCATGTACAGAAGTAGCACTAAAAGGAACCTTGCTGGAAGCAGATTTATTCTAAATGAAGAACCCATCTTTCCCCTAGGCTGGGCAGGGGTTGTGTGTTGAGAGCTGAATGTAGATTGGCTCTCTTAGACTGATTTAAATGAGCCATGTCTGAATACATGTTTTTGAAAACCCAAAGCAAAAGGGAGACAGAGAGAGTATAAACAGTTGATATTGAAAGATTCAAAAACCTTTTTATTCTAGACCTTGGGTGCTGATCATTTTTTAAGTGAATGATGAAATATTCCAGTTAACGAGAAAGAGATAAGTCATAAACTGAATTAGAAACTGCCAAATGAAAAATAGGGGGTGGGGAAAATGCATTCTAATTTTGAGGTAATTGCCCTAATAATGAGGGCAATCTATCAAATGTAATACAAGCTTCACTGTGTTTACTCTCATTTTCCCCTGTAGGAAACAAATCATGCAGCTAGGTGAGCACCTGAAAACAGAATATGAATTTCAAGATCTGGAGGAAACAATATTGAAAATGAGGAATGAATCAGACCTCTTACTTGAAAATCTTCAGGAAGAAATTGATTTGTACTCCAGTGCCCGTAATGCAAGCATCATGGGTAAGAGAGAAAATGCACTTCAACTGTCTGTTTCTAGACAAATGTTTATAAAATCCATAGTACATTCCATTAGTGAGTCACCCTGTGCTTACTGCCATAGCACCGCAGCACTTCAGAACATGAAAACACACCCATTGAAGACATTATTTGTATATGAATATTTCAACTTTTTAAACATTGCAGAGCCTAGATAGTATTTGCTCAAAATAACGAATGTTTGATACTAAACAAATACCAAAGAAACCTTCTAGAGCCAAACCATGCAAGTGGTCTTGTGAAATCAGCAACTTAGAAATGCTAACATGCATAAGGAAATAAGAAAGATATGTTTCTACAGTCTGTCATCCTGAGTATAAGCCACTCCATGTCCAGCATCCAAAAATGCAAAGGAATATGAAGCAAAAAGGACTTTCTCATAAGGACTTTGCAGGGGTGTGGAGTCACATAACATACTAGAAGCCCACAATTCACATTGCGTAGTTCTCAAAAATGAATGGGGGCTGTGTTGAAGCCAAGATCAACTTGGAGGGGAAATGGAACTCTGAAGCAAACCTTGGATTAGCTCTTCTTCTGATCTCTGATGAGATATCTGTTATACTTGGAAATGGACAACTTGATACTACCAGGGGAGGCAGCACGGAACTTGTTCACACCTAACCCACCTAATTGGGAGGTGAAGCGAAAATATGCATGAAACTCACCTCAAAGGCCATAACACTGTCTGCTTTTCTCTGCCCTATGTGTATGCTCCTGTTTTTCATCTGATCTTGACTTTAAAGAGAAAAAATACATGACAATTATGACCCTAAAGGAAGACTTAATTTAGTGAAATATCCATCGATGAGACTCAATAAATCCTATGTCAAGAATAAGGAATTTGTTCTGATTCCTAACCTGGAAGAAGGGGCCCACTGAAACAAGCCAGGAAGAAGAATGGAAAATTGCCCTCAGGCGAAGCCTCTCAAACTTGCAGTCCAATAGCAGTTCCTGAGGTTTTTCTCAATGCCTGACACTGTGCTGGGGAGATGAACACTCAAAGTCCTTGTCCTTAAGTTATTCCAATCTAGTGGGAAGACAGGCATATAAACAATTGCAAACAAAAGGACTAAATTAGGGCATCCTCAATTGCTTCCAGGACAGAGCAGTGAAAATGAAATTCCTCTGACTTTATTGGAAAAGGCTTCAGGGAGTAGGTGACAATTGAATTGGGCTTCACAGACTGAAGATAAATTTGCCAGAAAAAGGAAGAAAGTCATTCCAAATAATAGGAACATGGTTTTGTTTTATGTTAAACGAAAATCACGTATGTTAAGAATATGTTAGTGTAAGAACAAGGAAGGTTTAAAAGATAAGGCATGGTTGGTGCCTGGATTCTGGTTATGTAGGGTGCAAAGAGTAGGACCATGGGCCTCTGTTTCCTAAAATATGGAGTTATAGTTTATAGCCCTAATTTACCATCATTTACATTAAAAAATACCATATTATTTTTATGAATTTGCATTTTAGTAACAATATGGGAAATATAGAGAAGTGCTTAAGGACATTGGCTCCATAGTCAAACCACCTGCCTTCAAATCCTGGCTTCACCTCTGACTAGCAGTGAGACCTCAGGCAAATAGATTACTTCATCAGAGCCTCATTTCCTCACTTAGAAGGTGAGGGTGGTCACAGTAATAAACGTCTCACGGTGCTTTGAGAAGGTTAAGGAAGAGCATTGATAGGAAGTGCAGGCCTATAGAAAGCACTCTACAAATGCGAGCTATTGTCATCAGCCTCAACATCAGAGGTGAGCAAAAGACTGCCTGCCAGCAAACCCTACCCACAGCCTGTCTTTGTGAATAAAGTTTCATTAGAAGACAACCTCCCCTATTTATTTACTATTGTCTGCTGCTGCTTTCACACAATGGCAGAGTTGAGTCATTGTGACAGAAGCACTATGGCCGGGAAACCTACTAAATAAAACACTTATCCCCTGACTCTTCGCAGAACAAGTTTGTCCACTCCCACTCTATATAATTAGGTGAATTTAGTTGGATTATCTCATTAGGGTTCATAGTTAATGCATAATTAATACATTTGTGGAACACTTTACAAAGTATTTTCATATCTCACTCAATCCTCACAAATTATCACCAATTTACAGATAAGGAAACTCAATCTAAGAGATTTAACAATTTGATCAAGGACCTAGCCAGACAGTAAAAGGTGAACCAACACTCAAACCCATGTCTGCAGATTTGAATCTTAATGTTCTACATCTATCATATCTATCTATATGTATATATATAAAATACTACATCTAATCCTTCCTCATAGAAGTATACATTCAAGGAAGAGAATGTTGACTTTTTGTACTGTCATTAAGACAAAGATAGTGGCCAAATTGTGAAATAATTATCTTAATAGTCAATGTATAATTTCATTTGTTTTCAAAACATTTATCTTACTTCAATTTATGTTGATGTAGATTTCTCAGAGAACATCAAGAAGTATTATCACAGATCATCATCTGCTGAAAAAAGAATTAGTGAAATTACTTCCATCATAAATAACTCTGAGAAAACCAGAATTGACTTACTTACCATCTTAGATACATTAACCTCAAAAGAAAACTTGTCATTGGAAAAATTAAAACAGATTAAGATACCAGATATCCAAATGCTAAAGGAAAAGGTAAATATTCATACAGTGAGTAAAAATGTTTGTGGCTTCTACTTGGTCTCTTCAATTATATTTTCCTGTCTTACATCTTATTTATTTTTATTTATTTTGTAAATGTATAAATATATATTACATATATAAATGCTCTGTTAACAATGTATAAATAATACAAATATAAATATATTTATTTTTATTTCTTAAGTCAAAGTTTAAGAACAATCAAAGAGTAAAAATTGTGCCTTCATTTTATTATTTTACATTATTTACTGTTTCCCAAAGGGTACAGATTTCTCCTCCTGCCTCATTATAAGTAAAAGGCAATTTTTATTTATTTAAAGGAAATTAACAGGGAAATGCTAGACATTTGACAATTTTCCCCCAAAACTGTAAGTATAAAAATGGCACAGATTGGCACAATGCTGATAACAAATAATTTAGATACTGATTCAGTTCCCTAGGAAACATGTAATGGGTAACTTCTATACACTAAGCATGAAGAGCTATTGAAGAAACATGTACGAGTAGAGCAGTGCCTTGCCTCCATGAACCTGGATGGCGTTCAGAAAAAATCTGCCCGCGAGTGGCTTTTTCACAGAAGTCATTTCTCCGTCAGGTGTGTGGAGAACGAGGGGACACGCCATGTGTGCTCTCGTCATGTGGTGGCCCAAGCTGTCATGACTCCCTGACCCTCTCGAGGCACGCCCTTCAGAAAGCTCAAGAAGCAGAGTCCATGATTCAGAATTTGAGCAGCCAGGCTGCAGGTCTGAAAAATCAGGTAAATGATGTCTTCAGTTGCTTTATTTGTAAAGCTGTAGCGATAAAGAAAGGGCACTCTTTGGAATTTTAAAAACCGCCATTTAGCTTCTAAGCAGATGGATGATTCTAGATATTAGGTATTCTTATGCCTGGAAGTATAGGGTAAAACTATAGATGTCTATATAAATGTAGATTTAGAAGTAGATGTGAATATTGACATATTTTCCATTTCTATAATATTTCTATTACTGTGTGTTTGTAGGACATAGACTTGTGTAGATATATTTCTTTTATAGCAAACACTACATAGAAATGTAGACTCCTAGCTTTGAAGCTTTGAAAACTATAGATCTCCCAAAGTAAAGAATAATTTTTTATCAATTCAAGGGTATATATGAAATTCTACCAAATATAGACAGTTTAATGTTAGAATTCAAGTTAATGTTAGAAAATATTTTAACAGGAATATACCCTTATGCCTTGAATTCCTTCTCTAATAATTTTAAAAGATTTCATTTACTTTTCTGGTCACATTGATGAGTATACTTTTTAATTACCTAGTTTTCTTTAGTGTTTTGTGAATACATTATATTCTTCTTAAAAGGGTGAACACAATTTCAGGTATTCTGTGAATAATGCATTGTATTCATCTTGAGAACAAGATGATGAAGTGCCCCCTAGCTCGCTCCTGTTTTGACAATCTACATAGAGCCTTTGATGAAAAAAAATAGTTCTTAAAGCACTGAGGTGTTTTAACCAATGTAAGTGAAATATTATATCAGTCAGCATTCTTGTTTGCAAGTAACAGAAACCAACTCCTAAACAAAAAGGAAATGTACGCGGAGACATCTCAAATGGAGAGGAGGATAGAGGGTCAAGCTCGGGAAAGGGTTAAGAACCACCAATGATACATGTGTGAGCACCTACACACCAATACATGTGCGTACACACACACACACACACACACACACACACACACACACACACACGAGCAACAGTTTCCTCCAGGAGCCTCACCTCCATGATTCTGAGGCCCAGCTGGTCCTGTGTCGTTGCTCCACATGCCCCAGAATCCAAGAATGGAGCGAGCCTCTGAGAAGCCACGCTGGAGAAAATCCCTTGCACATACGAAATGTTGAAACATTTTATTTGCATAGTCATAATTCTGTATTGCTACATAGTTTTTCACTTACGTTAGTCTTCATTACTCTAATAAATATTCATGAGGACTGCTCTGTGCCAGACATTTATCTAGATGTTGGAAATACAGCAGTGAACATCACAAATGCAAATCCTGATCTTGCATCCTGGTGTTTAAAACAATCCTTAATTGTTTAATATTATATTGACCCTTCTTAAAAAAAAAACAACACAGAAACTGCACACAATTTAAACAAGCCCCATTAAACTATACTTTAATGAGGTATGTGTTAGCAGGATCTGGCTTAATCAGCACTTTAGAGAACTGGACCGGGGTGGGGGTTGTCACGCTGATAAAATGGTGAGCTATTTTCCCCTTGCTTAGAAGGGGAAGCGTGCCAGAGAGATTGTGAGAGAATTCTCAGGAGTCAGTTGTGACAGAGGATGGATTGCAGAGAGATGTTTTCAGAGTGAAGTAATTTAGCAATCTCTTTCTTTCTGAATATGGCATCGACTAATCTCCGCCGAGATTTCGTCTGTATAATTTGGCACTTTTCTATCCAGAGTATTTATTTCTGTAATTCTTACTTTACTGTTATACATTCTTACTTGCTGCTACCCACTTTTTTATGTTGAGATATAATTGACATAATATTGTACTCGCTTTAGATGTACAGCATAATGACTTGATATTACTAAATGATTCGCACAATAAATTTAGTTAGCATCACCACGCAGTTGCATTTTTTCCTTGGGAGAACTTTTTGAGATCTACTCTCTTAGCAATTGCTATCTACTTTAAAGTTTTAAAAATTCTAGAGAATCAAGGAACAACTCAAAAAATTAAGATACGTACTTTTAATCAGGTAAATATTTTTTGTTCCATCATTTGCCAAGGATATAATTGAATCCTTTTTCACAAAATATGTATGGCTCAATTAAGCTGGCTTCATTGTGGGGAAATAATGGGAGGACCCCCCCCCCCAATCTGTTTGGTCCTAATTAGCCCTACTTCTGTCACAACCTATTCAACACAGCTCAGCTGGTGGGTGATATTGTCCTTTGGCTTCATGTTTTTACTTTTCCTCAAATTTGCTGGAGTCCCAAGAAAAAGCCCCTGACCTTTCTCAAATCACACATTTAAGGATTTACATTTCTAGGCTGCCAGCCTTTTAGTCCTATCGTTCTTCTGTCAAATGTACAAAGTGTTTGGGACTTATCTTTGCGGCCTGCATTGAGCTCAAACTCATTTCTTAATACATGGGATGCTTTCTTTTAAGCTTTCAAAGAAAAGTGCATTATTTGAATTTGAGGAAGGTTTAGAAGAATAACTATTTTAACTTACATAAAAGAAAACACTCTCTCAACTTATGAGACATAGTGGCCCCTTTAAGTAAGTAGTCCTAAGTAATTTCTATGAAATTTGTTGATGTTATGGAATGTTAAAGTCTCATTAAAGTAAAACTTGTGTCAGGAAAAGTCATTAGTATTAGGTCAATATTGTTTTCAAATGATGGTTTTGAATACTAATAATGTTGTAGGAGATAAACTTACATTAATTAAGAAAACACGTAATGAAAACAATATCTTTTTAAGAGTCTTTTCAAATGTTTTAAAATTGTTTAATTATCTACACTTCTTTTTCATTTTTGGTGACAGTTTTATTTGGTCCAGCTAAGCAATTAAACATCACAGAATGTACTTAATCATTGTGTGTTTTTCTTATTCCAGATAAAAAATATAAGTAAACTGGCAGAAGTCTCCAAAAACAATTCCTTACAGTTAAGTGAGAAACTGTGGAATATGAAAAACCAAAGTGAATCTGAAGAAGAAAACATGAATCTTTTAATCAAAAAACTGAAAAAGTTTCTGTTAGGTAATTTTTTTTAAATATTAGGACTAGTTTTTGTTTCTTTTTTTAATGTATACTCAAACATCACAACCAATTTCAAATGACATTAATTGTGAATGACATGCCAAATTCAGGAACATGATTTAAAATTTCTTAATGAAAATAATCCCAAAATATTAACTCAGTACCAAAAAATTGACTCTCTTTATGAGATTAATTAGTAATAAATACTAAAATTTATTTTAAAAAAATTTCCAAAAATAAACTTACTGTTTAAAGTTATTTTACTTTCTTTTAAAAAGGAAAATACAACATAAAGTTTATATCAGATTCCCTGATGTTAGGATTTTATCATCTTCTCTGCTAACAGTGTACATAAGATCAAGGTATGATAAATTTTGGTTAGTATCAAATATCATAGTTAGGTAGCACCTAAAATATTGGTTATTAACTATTATTGTCTATTTCCCAAGTCTCTTATTGGCTCTCTATGATTGGCCCAAAGGAACTATTTAATTCATTATTGTTATGAATTATTATTATAGTTATTATTGGTTAAAGATAAAAATTTTAAAATACAGCTGGATGCCTCGTTTGTGGACTCCATCTCCAGTGGGGGGTGTGCAAGAGGCAGTTTATCAATGATTCTCTCTCATCATTGATGTTTCTACCTCTTTCTCCCGCTCCCTTCCTCTCTGAAATTAATTTTAAAAAGGAAGTTATATACTTATATGCATAGCCATGGGCAATAGGACAGTGAAGACCTGGGGAGGGGTGCAGTTGGGGAGGGGCTGGGAGGAAGGAGGAAAATGGGGGAAATGGGAGACATCTGTAATACCATCAATAATAGAAAATATGCCGAAACCAGTTTGGCTCAGTGGATAGAGCGTCGGCCTGCAGACTGAAGGGTCCCAGGTTGGATTCTGGTCAAGGGCATGTACCTGGGTTGCGGGCACATCCCCAGTGGGAGATGTGCAGGAGGCAGCTGATCGATGTTTCTCTCTCATCGATGTTTCTAACTCTCTATCTCTCTCCCTTCCTCTCTGTAAAAAATCAATAAAATATATTTAAAAAAATAATACAAAATATATATTAAAAAATAATAAGGAAAGAAAAAAAGAAAAATTTTAAATGGGTTAGTAAAGCAGTCCAAAAAAATTATTTAAAAAAAAATACAGCTGGAAATTGACATGGAACCTCATTCTCAAATGCAGTTTGGGCACAACACTGTGGAATTAATTTCAAGAGGCTTTGTGTTTCATAGTTCCCTTCCAAATTCAATAATTTAACACTCTACATACGACTTAATTGACAATTGGGATATCTGTTACAATCTGGGCAATCACTTTATTAATCTGTTTAGTATTTATAAAAACCCCTATGGCCAACCAAGTATATTTTCCAACCTCATGTTTCTAGAAATTATATTAGCAGCTTCTAATCCTGATTTTCAAGATAAGAAAAAATTAGGCAGTAAAAAGAATTAATAAAAATGATCAAAATAATCAGTAAAAATGAATGGGGGTGGAATTAGTCTACTGGACATTTTGTTTGTTCAAAAGCAAATTTTCAGTGAGTTAGGAACTCAACTGAGATGGAGGAACACGTTAGCTCTCTCTACAGACACCAGTTTATTTGGCACAAATTGAAACCGCCAGACCAATTGTGTGAAAATGGTGGCATAGGGTCCCAAGCCCCAGCTCAGAAAGTAGGTTCTTGCTTTTCACTTACTTCACTGGGCCATAGAGCTTATTCCTATATTAGTTCTATTTCTTATTGCTGCTGAAAAAAATACTTTAACTAACCTGAAAAATTGAAAAAACTGTTTCCAGATTGTTACCACAAATATTAGACTAGACAAAGAGAAAAGTCCTATTCTATAAAAGAAAATTCTCTTTTCTGAGTCACAGGAAGCGGTGCCTTTCACCCACCTGTTACTTCTCTTTTCCTTGCTAGAAAGCCCAAATAAAATCATTAGACTGTATGGTGGCCCACTATTCAGTTCTTCTTTGACCATTTTATTTTCCTTGTGATCTGAATTCCTTCTGAACCAAGTTATGTGTCATTTCTCCTAAAAGCCCCATCTAAAAATTTGAGCTTATGATCTCATAATAAATATCAATAAATGTTTGATGACTGAAATTGTGGTTAAATTAAAATCACTCTTTATTATAACATTTTTACGATGAGAATTACCATTTTTAAAGAGCCAACTCCCTGATTCCATTTAAAATATGGTTTTAGTTTATTCATAAACATGCTTATCACATTTTTTTTTCAGAAACATTACAGGGAGTAAAATATTTCTTTTATATTAAACAAAATAGCTAAAGCAAAAGTGATTGCAAAAAGGATATATACTCATGTCACTCCATTCAAATACGAAAAATCCCCTATGGCTCCCACTGCTTCCCGAACGAAGTCCAAGTTACTTCAGGGACTACTGCGGTCTGCTCCCCATCTCTGACTTCCATTCCTCCAATTTTAGACACCCCACTCTCCCCCGCTTCCCCCTCCCCCAGCTCCAAGAAGGAGCTGTGAACCTGTTTCTTTTATTCTGTGGTTCCCTCAACTTGGAATGCCTTCTACCCCTCCCCTCACCCTGCGTCTTCACAACCCCCATCTCTGCTGTCCTCCAAAGCCGGGCTTAAATGTCTTTTTGAAATTCTTCCTGAAGTATTTTCTCCTCCCTCTGGACCCAACATCATTTTGTCTTATATTCACCTCTTCTGTTCTTGTATGATCACTATTTATATAGGATGATTCTGTTTCCCCACCTGATGCGAAACCCCTTGAGCAGAGGTTCTCAACCTGTGGGTCGCGACCCCTTTGGGGGTCGAACGACTCTTTGACATGAAGAAGAATCTATAGAACATAGACAATCTAATCCCTGAGTTCTGGGGACACCCAATCAAATGCAAGGGCATTGGACTTTGAGTTCATTGTGGCTATCCTTAAAAGATAGTGTTTGATAAAGAGACATAATGACTGAAAACCCACCTTTTTATTTAAGAGGAAAATGTGCCTCCAGAGGACATAGAAAAGGTTGCAAATCATGTACTTGACATCCACCTGCCAATAACATCACAAGATATAACCCATGCACGTGACAACATACAGAAACTTATGCGACTCTGTGAGGACTACAAGACAGATGAGGACAAGCTAAATAAAGCAGCAGATAGAGCTCAAAAGATTTTGGTGAAGGCAAAAGCAGCTGAGTAAGTACAGTTTTAATATTCTCATCTTGCCCTGGCCGGGTGGCTCAGTTGGTTGGAGCATTGTCCTGTACAACAAAAAGGTTGTGGGTTCATTTTCCAGTCAGGGGTTCAAGCCCTGGTCGGGGTGAATACGGGAGGCAACCAATCAATGTCTCTCTCTCTCTCTCTCTCTCTCTCTCCCATCCTCTCTCTCTCAAATCAATTACATTTTCTCAGGTGAGGATTAAAAAAGGCCTGTTAGAGCAAAAATGCTAAAATATGCCAGTGTTTTAAAAGGTGGTAGGATAACTGGTAAGTTTTTCCCTTCCTGATTTTTTTCTTCTTCTTCCTTCTCCTTCTCCTTTTTTACGTTGTACTTTCTAACTTTACTATAATGAGCAGTACATTGAAATCTAAAGAAAAAAAGGCTACAATAAAAAGGTGTGTGTGTGTGTGTGTGTGTGTGTGTGTGTGTGTGTAGGGTGTTATGAGAAAGGAAGGCTCCTGAACTCCCACTGTAACAATAGGGGGGGGAAAGTATAGACAGGAAGGCTTCATCCTGTATGATTCCAACTACGGGACATTCTGGAAAAGGCAAAGCTATAGGGACAGTAAAAAAGATCCGTCGTTGCCAGGGGTTGAGGGGAGGGATGAATAGGCAGAGCACGGGGGGTGTTAGGACAGTGAAAACACTCTGTATGGCACCATAGTGATGGACCCATGTCCTTATCCATTTGTCCAAATACATAGAATGTACACCGGGAGTGAACCCTAATGTAAACTATGAACTCTGGGTGATTATGATGTGTCAGTGTGGGTTCATCAGTTGTAACAAATGTGCCCTCTGGTGAGGCAGGTTGATAGCGGGAGGAGGGATATGCATGGGCGGGGGGGGGGGGTAACGGGAAATCTCTGTACCTTCCTCTCAATTTTGCTGCAAACCTACAACTGGCTCCTAAAAAGAAAAAGTCTTTCTTTTTTTAAAAGGAGAGGATGGGTTGGATGGGGAAGGGGGTGTTTTTGCAAATAGAGCTGTTTTTGCTCCGGGCAACAATCATTGCTAATTACGCCTCTGCAGCATTTGTCTGATACTTCACTCACTTGGTACATTCTCCCAAAAGGTGTTTGTGAGCCCATAGATCTAAGTAGCTGGTGAATGTTCACTGGAGGTGAGCTCATTTCCATAACATCGCCTATCACTTGGAATGCTTGTGATGCTAACCTCTGACTGGCCCCTGGGCGGCTGGAATGTCAGTGAAGCTTAAATAAACCAGAATAAACAGCCCGAAAATGCAGGCCTTTAGTTCTCTCTTTGCTCTCTGCGGAGCCTCTTGACTCTCTCACCCCCACTCCAACAAAGATTTAGAAACTGTTGCTTAAGTTTGAGAAATTACAGAACTGGAATTGGCAGAGAAGAGTTTTTTGTTCAAAACTTGGCAGTTATAGCCCCAAACCTCTCTGTTTATGACAAATTAAGAAGAAATACGAGCTTATATTTGATGTTCATATCTGGTGGGATCTGTTTCTGCACATGCATATATGTGTGTTTTTATTGGCATTTCATATGTCTGTTTCTCAAAATGAAGACTCCAGCACTTTGCCTTAAGAGCTTACTTTATAAATTTACTTTATAAATAATTCAGTAAATTTTTTGGTTGAGTTGAATGAATTCTCAAAGTGAAATATATGAATAATTGTATCATATTTTACATTAGAAAAGCAGCAAGGGCTCTACAGACTCCTGACCAGATGTTGAATAAGTGGCAACAAGTTGAAATCACTCAGGGACCGGCAAATTCTAACGTCGCACAGCTGACTGCCGAGATAACAAAAATAAAAAAGACTGCACTGCAGGTATTTCTCTATTTTCCTTGAAACTAACCTGAAATAGATTTTGAGTGTGGAAACAGCCCAGGTTTTACAAATGCCAATGTCACGCTTGACTTGCCTGTCTGATGGGATTGTAAGGATAAAATAAGATTATGGTCACCTTATGCATTTACTGTTCTACAGACTTCTCCCAGCATCACTTCATTCGTTGTTGACCAATCCTGGGGGATAAAGCAGGTGCTACCACCAGCTTATAAATGAGAAAATTAAAACTCAGGGAAGTTAGTGACTTGCCTACGGCCACATAGATAATTAAAGTAGATTTGAGGTCAGAGTTTATCCCTTCTGGTACCAGGGAGAGTAACAGACTCTTTATTGTTTTTGTTGTTATTTTTAATCTTCACCCAAGGATATGTTTGTTTTTTATTTATTTTTGAGAGAGAAAAAAAAGGAGGGGTAGTGAATCATTGATGTGAGAGGAAAACATTGCTGGTCGCCTCCCATACGTGCAACCTTTTGAACCCACAACCTTTTGGTGTAGGGGACAATGCTCCCACCAACTGAGTCAGCAGCCAGGGCATAGACTCTTTAAAGCTCACAACCCAAAGAAATAAAGTGAATTTGTTTCCAGCTGTTTGTAACTAAATGTGCATAAAATCTCATCGGAGTATCCTAAGACTGACAGAATATCTTACTCAAAAGAAAGGGTTCCATCCAGAGTTCAGAGAGAGCAAGACCATGGTTTAGCACATGTGATGGATCCAGGAGAGGAAGCCTGGCAACTAGAGGACAGGGCAGGACCTAGACCCAGGGTGTGTGAAGTCTTTCTCCCAGCTCCATTCTAGCACATCCCCTTCCCAGAAGGTTGCAAGGTACTCAGTCTCTGTTCTTCAGCTGTGTTTGCTTGCCCTAAATACATGCATCTTGAAAAGAGGAGCAGAAAGCAACAGAACAAGGAGTAGCGCACCGGGAAGTCAAAGGGTTGCAGATGAAGAGGTTGCATACACAGGGAAACAAAAGAATTAGGAATGCCTCCGGGTTTTCCTCCTTCTAGGAATATTCTCTACAACAGGGGTTGACAAAATAGAGCTCCTGGGCCAAATAGGCACACCAACGGCCTCTGTCTCCAAAGTCACAGTGTTTTATTGGCTTCCAGCCACATGTTGTCTATGGCTATTTTTGTGCTACAGTGGCTCAGAGTTGCATAGTTGCAAAAGAGACTGTGTAGATTAGAAAGTGTAAAATACTCACTATCTGGCCCTTTATTAAAAACGAGTTGCAGATACCTGCTCCAGGAAAACTCTGACATATGCTCAAAGGCACAGGAAGGGACTTCTAGTTCTAAAAATCTGGTGGACCAGTACTCCAATGAGAAAGAACACAATACAGACACTTGCCTCTTGCTCTGGGTAGAGGAGGAAAGTCCTCACTAAGAATTGCTAACCACAAGCTGGATCTTCTAGGAGTTTGGGGCAGGGATTCACACTACCTGGGTGACCCCAACAACCAAAGCTAAAAGTGTCTTTGAAAGTGGTCCTGGATCGGTAGTGCCCTCACATGCCTGACAGAGACAAACAGAAAATCCCCCCCAAAGAAATGTACCTTAAAACCAAACCTCAAAGAATTCCACCCCCCAAAATATATTGCCTCAAACAAGATAGCAAACAACAGGATCAAAATGCAACAGACTGTGGCTCTTACCATTATTGGATAGGAATGTTTACTATGTTTAACAAAATAAAAAAAGGTATAACCGAAGAATAAGAGACAAGATATAACACATGACCAGTTAGATTTGAGAAATATTTAAATAGGACTTCTTGATACGATAAGTATAGTCATTGAAATAAGAAACAAATATAACATGTTCAGTATTTTATGTAAGGGAGTAGGGAATTAGAAGCCACATGCATCAAGTGAAAAGTAAAAATAGAATAAAATGATGACATATTTGCATAAAGTTAAAAATATGGAACACTGCATATTGTTAGAAATACTGCATAGGCATACAGTTAAAGGCATCAAGAAGAACATGGAATGATAATATTAGATTCTGGTTAGTGGTTGCCTTTAGAGGGGGAGGCGATATGATGGGGAGCGGTGCACTGAGGACCTTGGCTCACTGGCCATGCTTTTTTTTTAAATATATTTTTACTGATTTCAGAGAGGAAGGGAGAGGGAGAGAGAGAGAGAAACATCAATGATGAGAGAGAATCATTGATCGGCTGCCTGCTGCACACCCCCTACTGGGGATCGAGCCTGCAACCCAGGCATGTGCCCTTGACCGGAATCAAACCTGGGACCCTTCAGTCTGCAGGCCGACGCTCTATTCACTGAGCCAAACCAGCTAGGGCATCACTGGCCATGCTTTATTCTCACACTGGCTGGTGGGTGCGTGGATATGTTTCATATTTTCTTTTAGACTCTCATAACATTTTTCTTTTGTAAATGGAACTGAAAATTCAAAGGAATGCTTTTCTTTCCCTTCACACCTGGCTTATTTTCTGAAGGGTAATTACATCATTTCTTGTTTTTGTTTGCTTCTTGTTACATAAAGAAACTTTCTTTTTTCTTTTTAAACCAACAACAGACTGAAAATAAAGCCCAGGAGAATGAGAATGAACTGGACTTAGCAAAGCAGCAGTCAGCCCTGGAGGACGGACTTTCCCGGCTGCGGGTCAAGTTGCAAAGGAATCAAGAGCAAGCCATCCACGTGGGAGCTCAGGCTGAGTCGGCCCAGCGCCAGGCAGGGGGCCTCCAGGAGGTCATTAGTCCCACCCCTGCCACCAAGAGCACAGGGTGCTTCTCTGAAGGCGGATCCTTCATCCCCAGATTTTTGGGCCATTTATCAGCATTTCCTGTAGTGCTGGTCCATGCTCAGTGGTGTAGGTTTGTAGGGATCCCAATGGGCGTGACGGTGGTGGAGGGTTGTCTTTGGAGAAGGCAGAGGTCCTCTGGCCAAATCCCGTTGGAGGGTTTACTCCCCACCCGCTCGTCCCAGGATTCTTAATGATCTTCTAGTCACATTTGTCCTGAGCTTCCAAACTCTCGCAGTTTATGCCACTATATTGTACGTGTTTGCCCTTTACTCTAAGTAAGTCACGTAGCATATAAGGAAAACAAGAAGTGAAAGTCACCTGCCGGAGAATAGATGAAGTTACAAAAATCAGAGTGAGTTAATTAAACAGTTGTGGAAAGTGGCCCACTAATTTAGGGTGCTGAAAGAACCTATCAACTCGTTTTCTTAGCAGGATATCTTCGCTTGGTAGCATTAATATAGTAGCTTGAACAAAAGAAAAACGTTAAGGTGTTTTTACAATTGGTCTTTTATCTTGCTTTCAAGCCCTAATGCTCCGGGTAAAGTTTCCACTGAGGGGAGCTGAGAACATTTTCTATGGAACAGAGGTTGAGACAGTGCTTCTCGCCCCCTCCCCATCCCCCTTCCATATTCCGTTCCTGGGTCCGGCCTTTATTCATCTATTTAACGTCCTAAATTGTCAAACACATAGGCTGACCCCAAAGATTTCCATTCTAGTTCTGAGGGAGATCTTCATACGAACACTTCTGCTACCCTATCTGCCTCCCTTTCCACCTCATTTCTGTCCCACCTTTTCGCCAACTAAATGATGTGTCCTTGCTGTGTCTAGATCTTCCCTGCTGGCTCTGCCCTGCATGGGGCGCTGCAGCTGTTTGACATAACTGAGGAGTGGGCAAGGGCAGGACTGGGTCATTCTGTCCTGTGTGTCTCTCACCTTAACGTAGTTCAGGACAAACAATTGGTCCTTCATAAACATTTGCCTTCACATGGAGTAATGATTCATATTTTGTAACAAAGTTTTATTCTTAATTAACTAAAGCTGATATTTTTTTCAACCTGAAAAAAAATGCAATGAAAAGCCATGTTGGAAATATCAGAGTAATTCAAGTATATTGACTGGGTTATGGTTTCCTCTTATTCCTTTTATGAACAGTATCAGGCAAATTCCATGTATGTGTACATGCTTTATCAATATTTTCTGATGATGGGAGTGTTGCTCTGTTACAGGACTTTGTTGAGCTGAAAAATCAATACGCTGTTCTTCAACATAAGACCAGCGCAACAGGACTGACAAAGGAAACCTTAGGAAAAGTGAAACAGCTAAAAGATGCAGCAGCAAAATTGGCTGGAGATACAGAGGACAAGATAAGAAGAATAGCAGGTACCTCTTCTTTTCTCCAGCTTTACTGAGCTATAATTGACAAATAGACTTGTATATATTTAAACTGTACAATGTGCCGATTTGTTCGATGTGTACATGGTGAAATTATTACCACAATTAAGTTAATTAACAGATCTATCTCCTCACATGGTTACCTTTTTCTTTTTGGTGCCTTTGAGAATGCTTAAGGTCTACTCACATGCACAATACACTGTTATTAACTACTAGTGGCCCGGTGCACGAAATTTGTGCACATTAAAAGGGAATTAATTAGAGGAAATATTTTTAAAGTGCTATTTGCCCTTTCTCTGTAATAGAAGTGTCAGAGATGAAAGAAAATTAGTAAAATGTATATGAAAATCTTCCTCCTGTCAGAGTCTGGGGCACGCTGCGGGACCCAGAGTCAAGTCCCCACCCACGCACGTGAGACCCAGACCCAGCCAGCCCTACCTCTTCCTCTCTACCTCTCTCTCTCTCTCTCTCTCTCTCTCTTTCCTCTCCCTCCTTCCCCCTCTCTCCCATTGTCTCTAAAAATCAATGGGGGGAAATATATTCTAGGGTGAGGATGAACAACTAGGGTGAGGATGAACAACAATCACAAAAGGGTATTAATTAGCATTCACTCTGTGTTAATCAGAACAAACTGAGATTTACCTTTGGTCACCTTGAAATACCCTTTTCTTAACCCAGTGGTTCTCAACTGGGGTGATTATATCCCCTCCTCTGGAGACAAAAATGTCTAAAGACATTTCTGCTTGTCACAATTAGGGGGTACAACTAGCATCTAGTGCAGCCGTGGGCAAACTACGGCCCGCAGGCCGGATCCGGCCCGTTTGAAATGAATAAAACTTAAAAAAAAAAAGACCGTACCCTTTTATGTAATGTTGTTTACTTTGAATTTATATTAGTTCACACAAACACTCCATCCATGCTTTTGTTCCGGCCCTCCGGTCCAGTTTAAGAACCCATTGTGGCCCTCGAATCAAAAAGTTTGCCCACCCCTGATCTAGTGGATAGAGGCCTGGGATGTTGCTAAACATCCTATAATGCACGGGATACCACCCCCAAACCCCAACAAACAATTCTTCTGCCCAAAGTATCAATGTACTGAGATTGAAAAACCCTGTCTGAACCTATGCTGCTCATTTTCTCCCCTTGTGCAAATCACTCTTTTGGAGTAGGTGTGATCTAGACTCTAGGGCACCAGGTCACCTAGCAAGGCCAGTAGGTAGCAGCCCAGAAGGAATCATGTTCTGGACAAGGATTTTGGTCAAAATGGAGATCTTGATGCACACAAAGTGTACACACCTAGAAGGCAAACAATCAGAAAGTTCATTAGGATTTTTGCTTTCCACAACTAATACTCATGATTTTTCTGGACAATCATCATGTCCTTGACTACCTCTAAGAAATATCAAATGATGAGTGGTTTACTTTTACTTTTGTTTATATGTATTATCTCTGAAAGTTTTAAAACAACAATATTCATTTGTAATATAAGTAACTCTCAACGTTTTAAAATAACCCCAAATCCTCACTTAAAAAATGCATATCATCACTATGACATGGAAAAAAAAGAAAGAAAATGCAACATCAGTGTGGGTCAAAGCAAAGAAAAACACATACCAAACGGTTGACATTAGTTATCTCGGGGGGGGGGGGGGAGTGAAGAGGAAAACGCACTCTTTACATTGATATAATTGTTTTAAAAGCAGGGAGCTTCTGGACACTTTTTTCCATGTTCAGTATTTTCCCAACAATTTTAAAAAAGAGATACTCAGAAAGATTAAAAAAGACTGACATAATGTTTTTTACTTTATACTCTGTCACACAGGCAATACCATGAATATCAGTTTCTCTTATCCTTGATTCTTCCAAAATAACAGAATCATGGAGAGCGTATTTTCTGTCTTATATTTGATGTCAGGATCCAAATGGTTTCCACTTATCCCTGGAGACTAAAGCCTTCACACAGTTCTTGCATTTGACTGGGAGAGAAGTTTAAGCTGGGGGACTTCTCCTCAGAGAGGTCTAACACAACACTTTCCACTTTGCCAATTTTCATGGTAAGACTGCTTTCACAGCTCAACAAGATAGGAAAGACAGACATGGGTGTGGCCACCTTGCCGACTCCGCCACTGGAGAAGGCGCTGAGCCACAAGGGCTGTGCTCTGTTCCCATCTGTTTGGAAGAGATGCCTGTGGGATCCCAAAAAGCAGCCCTTACTTACCTCTTACATTGAGAGAGTTGAAAATGGGCCCCAGTCTGCAGCCAGGGTCCCTCCATAGGACTTTGTCAGTCAGGGTCCCAGAAAGAAATAGGAAGCATGGATGTGATTCTGGATCACGTATTTATAAACAGAGTTGTGTCAGTTTCTATCCAAGCAGCTGCCTGTGGCTGATGGGTCAGCTGGCTGGTCTGCCAGGGGCCAACCTTGGCTAAGAGGCTGGACCTCCCTCTATGGGGTCTTTCATCTCAGGCTGCTTTGCAGCAGGGTTGTTTGAAGATTCCATGAGAATAAGTACAGAAGCTGTGAGTCTCTTGAGGTCCTGCAACATCATTTCTTCCACTTTCTATTGGTCAAAATAACTTGCAAAGCCTTCCTGGTTTGGGGGGAAAGGATAAATAGACTCTTACTTCTTGATGGGAGAAACTACAAAGAATGTGCAAGAATTTGGGGGGAAAAGCAAGGGCCTGGGGGTTCTGGGTGACGGCAACAGTGAGAAGCTATCAGCGTCCCGAGCCTGAAGGAGCAGGGGAGCAGGACGTGAATGCTGTGAAGTAGGCCTGTGGGCGCTGGAACGGACGGGAAGAGGCCACCCTTGGGAGCTGGAGCTGAGCTGTGAGAACTGACAGAACCTGCTGCTCACCAGGGAGGAGTGTGCTCGCTCTCCCCACCCTCCCTCCCACCACCTCTCAGATCCCACAGTGGCCAAGTGTGACTGACAGCCAGAGGTCAGGGAGTCAGGTGATGTCATCCATGGAGCCAGCTTTCCAGGACACGGAGCAGGGTGGAGACTGGGTCTGGTGGGGCAAATAGGAAGGAGCCAGCACAGTCTTGTTAACGTATGTAGTAGAAACATGGGGGGTGGGGTGGGGGGGGGGTAATAATACACTTTCAAAGCCGAATCCCCTTTTCAATCCCAAATGACCTATATTTGAAAGTTTCCAATGACAGAATGTTGACCGCCTTTCATAGTAGCTCTTTAGTCTTTGAGCAGCTGTGACTACTAGAAAGTTCTTTATATTCAGACAAACTCTTTAGGGAGCTTTCACCTGCTGGTTGCATTCTATTTCCTCAAGCTGACCAAAGAAAAAGAAAAAACAAACAAAAAAAGCCCACATACTTACTCTGCTTTTCTGGCCCTCAAATACTTAAAAACAGCTATGGCACATGTCTTCTTTCCTTTATATGAAAATTGCCAGTGAACTCCATTTTTTTTCACAGGACAGTTTCAGATTTTTTCATAATCCAGTTCCCTAGGATGTAGGCTATGGGCTAGTTTGACAGTTCCCCCAAACCAACTGAATGGCCAGGTGTGATCTGACCAAGTGAAGTAGAACATTTACCTTCCTTCTTTGAGAAGTTCCACTTCAACCCAAAGCCAGTGTCTTTTCTAAAGGCCACCTCATTGTCAACCATAGCTCCTTATACCTCTTCCATCCACTATTCTATGGACTCCTTCTTACGGTTTAATATAATTCCCAGATATTTGTTGGTTGAAGAGTGGATAAATGAATGGATGGATGGATGGATGGATGGATGGATGGATGGACAGATGGGAGTGAAGCCAAAAAAGGCATCACGTTGCTTTTACTGTTCAAGGACTTCAATGTTAGAAGGAGAATATGAAGTGAAAATATCAGTTTTTTTACTGAAAGATTGGGAAACCCTAAAGTGAAAGATACATGTTAAAAAGAATAGTTATGCCGAAACTGGTTTGGCTCAGTGGATAGAGCATCGGCCTGTGGACTGAAGGGTCCCAGGTTTGATTCCCGTCAAGGGCATGCACTTGGGTTGCACGCACATCCCCAGTAGGGTGTGTGCAGGAGGCAGCTGATCGATGTTTCTCTCTGATCGATGTTTCTAACTCTCTATCTCTCTCCCTTCCTCTCTGTAAAAAATCAATAAAATATTTTTTTTAAAAAAAGAATAGTTAATATAGAAAGAACAGTCCAGTCTGTGTGGCTCAGTGGTTGAGCATCAACCTATGAACCAGGAGGTCACAGTTCAATTCCCGGTCAGGGCACATGCCCAGGATTCAGCTCGATCCCCAGTGGGGGGCATGCAGGAGGCAGCCGATCAATGATTCTCTCTCATCATTGATGTTTCTCTCTCCCTTCCTCTCTGAAATCAATAAAAATATATTTTAAAGAAAGGAAGGGAGGAAGGAAGGAAGGAAGGAAGGAAGGAAGGAAGGAAGGAAGGAAGGAAGGAAAGGACAAATCTCTGGAAATATAGCACTTCACCAGATCCAATCAATGCTTATCTTCTGTCTCTTCATTTCTAGTCAACTCAAACTAGGTACAGATTCACATTGATAAGTGCCTTTAGATAGAGAATACTTTTAGACAAATGTATCAGTTTGTCTACTCTGACTTACATGAAAACCTTGAGAAGTCTGGTGAAAATAAGTGTTTTATCTAATGAATCAAAACACCAAACTAAATATGTCTTTACTCGATACATAAATCCCACGGGTTTGGTATCACTTGGGCACCCAGGAGGAATTTATCAAATGGAAATATATAATTCATTTCATTTTCTTTTTTAGATTTAGAAAAGAAGATTCAAGATTTGAATCTTAGTAGACAAAGAAAAGCTGATCAACTGAAACAGTTGGAGGATCAAGTCATTGCCATTAAAAATGAAATTGTTGAGCAAGAAAATAAATATTTAAGCTGCTAGCGTTAGGCAGAGCTGAAGTGCAAAAGCCAGTGCCTTTGTTTCTGGTTCCTGAGGAGCAACCTGAGGAGCTGTGCTGAACCTGGGAAGCACAAATGAGCAGCCTCCTCGCCTTCCTCCCGCGCTGGAGCCCTCCCCCTCCGCAGCTCTGCTCAGTGCTGGGGAGTGACACTGGACCCAGGAAACGCCTCTTCGTGTAGCACAGGAGGGAGAAGTAAAGAGGTTGTCTCTGGTTTCAGAAACCTTTCCTCTTGCCTTTCCTAACTTAAAAATAATTAGTTACATATGACAAGTACAAATCAAAATAAGATTCTATTTACTAATACTAATTCTAACTATTCAAGTGTCCAGGCGAGGGGTGGTGGAGAATGGGGAGTTACTAACCAACGGCATAAAGTTTCAGTTAAGATGAATAAGTTTCCAGAGATCTGCTGTATATTATATGTGTAGTTAACAATAATGTTTGTCCACTTAGGAATGTATTGAGAGCGTGGATCTCATATTAAATGCTCTTACCATGCTACAATAAAATAAAAATAAACTTAAACAAATTAAATTAAAATCAATTATATCTCGAATACTAGAATGGAATGAATATGGGTGGTATATACTAGTGTTTCTGTATTTTATTTGGATTTGCTTTATCTGTAAAACCATTATTCTATTCTGAATAAAGTGCATGTAACTCAAAATGTAACTTGTTTTTACACCCCCTTTCCTACATATTTATTCTCTCAGCCAAAGGATTTTCTTTTCCCCAAATGGCACTTGAACAGTATTCAAAGACTACTTTTCATAATTTGTCTGCAAGCATTTCTGCTGACAATCCGCCGGCTTTGAAGATGGAAGGATGGAAGGGGTCCCAAGAAGCCGAAAAAAAAGAAGAAAACGGATTCTCTTCCACTGCTTCCGGAAGGGAACATAGCCACGCAACGCCTTGATACCTTGATTTTAGCCAGTGAGACCTGTACTAGACTTCTAACCTACAGAACAGTAAGATGAAGTTGTGTTGTTTTAAGCCACTGTATTTGTCATAATTGGTTACAGCTGTAAAAGGAACCTAATCTACCCTCCATTTGTTTTTTTCCCCTTCAATTGGGCAAGAATACGGTGAGCCAGCTGTAACCACGTAGATGATGAGAATACTGGTGAAACAAGATAGAAGAAATCTAGGTCCCTGATTGACTGTACCATTGAGGTGAGGACATGAGCTGGGACAGTTTATTAAGGTTACTGTTTTCAAAGATGTGGACAGGGTGGAGGAAAGTCATAGAGGGCAGTGCAGCATCCCAGAGCCAGCACTTGGCAGGGGGTCATCACCACCCTTAGACAGGGACAACTGCATTCTGTGTAGGAGGGCCACTTAAGAGGAACTGGTCAAGGGATGCAGCCCGAGGGGACAGCCCTGCAGAGGATCTGGGGGTATAAACACCCTGATGTCACTCTCCTCCCCTGTCCAATTTCTCGGGAGTGCTTCCTATTTGCTGAACCAAGGAACCAGGTTTATATTCCCACTAGAGGCTCAGTGCAGGAATTCGTGCATCAGTGGGATTGGGCAAAACCGGCTCTCTGACATTCCCCAAGGAGTCCTGGATTGTGAGAGGGCGCAGGCCAAGGCCAAGGGACTCCACCGGTGCAGGATCGGGGCTGGGGAGAGACACGGGAGGTTGGTCAGCTGGGGAGGGACCACAGAAGGGCCCCAGGGCATGTCCAGCCCATCTTGCTCAGTCCCAATCGGCTGGACCCCAGCAGCAAGCTAACCTACTAGTCGGAGCATCTGCCCCCTGGTGGTCAGTGCACGTCATAGTGGGTGGTTGAGTGGCCTTTAGCATATCATTAGCATATTTTTTGATTGGTTGAATGGCCGACCGGACACTTAGCTTATTAGACTTTTATTATATAGGATGTAGGTCAGCCTCCTGGGGCACAGAAGAAGGGCAAGTTGATCAGGAGAGGCACAATGACCTTGTGGGTTAAAGCTGTCTGTGCCTGACTCCCCTGGACTACCTGGCCCAGGCAGTCCTTGGACCATCACCAAATTACAATTTTTTCAAACATGACATGAAACCAGATCACCATATGGTTTCATCCCCTCTAAAAATGTATTTGAGAACAAGTCAAATATTTGCCTCAATATTCAGAGGAAAAATGTCAGAAAGGACTAGAATACCTGCACGGACAAAAATCTTTCCCCCCATCGCTCCCACTCTCAGTAACTACCATACTCTATAGCAGCTGCTGAAAATCCTCTCCTCTCGCTGCAAACTCCTCCCCACTAACAACTCCCCCAAAGCAAGTAGTTGTTCTCACACAACTCTTCATTCTCTTCGGCTCCCTCTTTCTTCTTCCCTCAGATCTAGCCTCTCCCCTTTGTCCTTGGTCACTCTCGATTTTCCCTGCCATGTATGTTTGTTTACAAGACTTGATACTTTCCAAGTCAGGCAGCCCTGCATTGGGGTGAGCCACTCCCACATGGAGGCCGAGGCCACACAGATGGGCAGCAGCTATACTTCCAGGCAGAGCTCACCCAGCCACCCTGAAGGGAAGCCTTTCCTTCTCATCCAAGTAGGCTTTGTCTAGGAACAAGCAATTGCATTAAGGGCTAAGCCTACAACATTAAAGGACACATTTGAAAACATTTTATATGTATAAAGGCATGTGTTTATATGCACTTAAGATGTATGCAAAATTTATACAAATGCAACTATAATGTGTAGGCTTCCCAGTAATCCTTAGCCATTAAACAAGTTTAATCAAACCCTCCTGCATACAAACCCGGGCACATGCACACCCTCTCTTCCTCCCTCACACCCCATGCCCCTGCCTCGCCAAAACCAAGCTTGAATAGAACTTTTTTTTTCATTCACTTTATGCTTCTAACTAAAAATTCTTTCCCGGCCCTGATTCTGGTGCTTCAGACAAGTGAAGAATCTAAAAACTTTGGTCAAAGAGTCCTCACAGGCTTTTTCCACTATAAGCTTTAAGGCCGTCAGCACCGAGCTGCCTGCCCTCAGCCCTGTTTCTTCCAGCTCCTGCGATAGGATGGAAGGAGGAGCTTCCCCGCTCTCCCTCCAACACAGTGGTTCTCAACCTTGGCTGCACATTAGAATCACCCATCTTTGTTATTGGGTGGGGCCACAACATTAGTAACAAAGAAACAGAATTTCTGGGAGGATGAGGCCCAGAAATCAGGATTTTAAAAAGATTCCCAGGCCCTAACCGGTTTGGCTCAGTGGATAAGAGCATCGGCCTGCGGACTGAAGGGTCCCAGGTTCGATTCCGGTCAAGGGCATGTACCTTGGTTGCGGGCACGTCCCCAGTGGGAGGTGTGCAGGAGGCAGCTGATCGATGTTTCTCTCTCATCGATGTTTCTAACTCTCTATCCCTCTCTCTTCCTCTCTGTATAAAAAAAATCAATAAAATATATTTTTTAAAAAAAAGATTCCCAGGTGATTCTAATGTGCAGCCACGGTTGAGAACCACTGATTAGCTTCTCTGCGGGGGCATCACTTGAATCTACACCTGACATTACAGCTAAAGGCTGGCCACTCTAGAAGGCTTCTACTGCTCTCCCAACCTGCCTCGGACTCAGCCTGCCAACTGAGTGAGCTGTTAGACAAAGCAAGTTTCCCACAATTTATATCAAACATTTTAATCAGAACATACAGGGTTTTTTAATAGAAATGTAGTGTTTTCTTCATGTTCATATAAATTGTGTACTTTTTAACCGTCAAGTCATAGATTCATAGGTTGTGGGCTCAGTCCCCAGTAGGGGGCATGCAGGAGGCAGCTGATTGATGTTTCTCTCCCTCTTCCTTATCTCTCTAAAAAATCAATAAAGACTTATTTTTAAAATATACTGTATATATAACATACATATTTTTTACAATTGGAGCCCACTTTCCCCCATTATACCATAGAAATAGGCCCTATCTTTTTAGACAACTGTTTAGTATTCCATTACAGGGGTCTAGCTTATTTACTTACCTAACCCCCTAGTGATGATTACTGAAGTTATTTCCAGTTTTCCTCTTGTTATGAACAGTAGTGTAAACATCTTTATATGCATTATTCGGCATGTTTTTCCAGGGTTAAAGTTATATCTATTGTAAACTTTAATACATTTCAGATTGCTCTTTAGAAAGGCACAATTGTACCTTCCCAGTGATCACTTACGCTCCTGCCTTCATGAACCTCATTCCGTTTGAGGTCACAAGGCTTGGGGGCCATTTACTGACCATTATATCATTACCACCTTGCAGCTTCTCACATGATTGTGAAAGTGCAGTTTACTTCTTGGTAATCCTCATGTATATTACAGTACCAAGCAGTCCCTGGCAAGTTGGTTAACATTGTCTATGTCAGTATCTCATGTATCTAACTCACAGAAAACCCATGAGATAAATATGCTCCCCTTTTTATATTTCCCATGAGATAAATTAAACATGCTATCTGCTTTTTTAAAGTACTGGTGTGCATTGGGGATGACTCATTCCAGCTAAAGAAGTACCTGTGAATGTTTTCTCTCCAGGGAGCACAATGAGCATAGCTCCTGGCATTTGCTAAAAGAATGCATTCAGCAAATATCTGATGGGCTCTGTGTTCAGTGCTAGGGAAATTAGGATGCTCTCAAGGTACTTACAACTTAGCACATTTGAAAAATACATTAATATTCATTGCACACCTACAATTTTTTAAATGATTTTATTAATTTGTGAGAGAGAGAATAACATATTTATACTTCAAAATGACTTTTGGTTGGAGTTTTTATTTTTAGTTATACCAGTTGTAGACAAATACATTCTCCTTATTTAAACAAAGTTTAAACATTACAGATAAGGCAAGAGTCCCCTTTAACCCCCATACCAAACAAAATTCCTGTACTTTCCCTTAAGGTACCCCCTCTATTATCCACTTGCCATGCCTCCTCCTAAAACTTTATCATTGTTATTCATGTATTTATACGTTTATGTTTATATGGAAACAGAAAATTATAATGTTCTTCCTTTATCCTGAACCACCGGTTCTCAACCTGTGGGTCGCAACCCCTTTGGGGGTCAAACGACCCTTTCACAGAGGTCGCCTAAGACCATCGGAAAGCACATATATAATTACATATTGTTTTTGTGATTAATCACTATGCTTTAATTATGTTCAATTTGTAACAATGAAATTGGGGGTCACCACAACATGAGGAACTGTATTAAAGGGTCGCGGCATTAGGAAGGTTGAGAACCACTGTCCTTGACTTTAACCCTGTTGACCTTTAACAATAGTATATACATTAAAGATAACTCTGGCCTTCTCTAAATGTCGAATATAAACCATTTGACCATAGTAGTGCTCAGCACATAGTAAATGCTCAAGAAACGTTAAAGAAGGAGAGAGAGATGTTGCTGCTAAGGCTTAAGGTACTAATTGGGTAGATAGGTGGAGTTCCCAAGGTCAAAGGTCAACCAGAGAGTGGTGATTATCACTACTTGGGATATCCGAATAGATGACTGAATTGTCAGCTCCATATTCCATGATTTCTAAATAGGGTCACCAAGAAATCATTTAATCTTTGAGGTTAATAGCAGCATTTCATTAGCCATTTTGAAAAGAGCAAACACATCCTACAGAATCTCTGTCTGGCAAACATATTGCCTGGCAATATGTAAAACAGCA